TTGACAATTCGCGTTTTGTTGCAATTCGAATTGAAGCAATCAGGTGCCATCAGTTCCGCAACTCTCAATCCCAATTGCGACGACCGCAAATTTACGAGTTCCATCTTCTCTTACTCCTCCTCGCCACTTAATTTATGGCTCCTTCGACGACTGATTTACTGTGACACCTATCTTTTTTGTTTTCAGCAATATTATAGGATTATTGTTTCAAACGCATCTTTCTTTTTTATTAAAATTTTGTTTGAAGCTTTTAAAGTTTTCACACGTAAAATAAGTAGACTCATTTTATTTCTTTTAATTGAAGACATTGTTTCAAATCCCTATCATGATTTTGTCCGCAGATGGTTTCTATCAAACCTTGCCAAACGTATATCATTTTCTGTTCGTTTCTATTTTTTTCTCTTCTAATATTGTGAACAATTACAACTGCATAGTAATAATACAACTTTTAAAATCGTGTCATGACCTGCATTAAACTTGGCGATTTTATGGAGCACCTAACGCGACACACTCGGACCCATAACTCATAAACAATAGGCGACAGCCATCCGAATTTTTTACGAGCGCCTCTTCGTATTGTTGCAAAACTGTGGGAGCTCATCGAGACTGCCATCTCATCCGTCGAATCGCATACAGAACGTAATCCGTGTGAAATCTGGTGACCCCCAGCGAATCGAGTGTTTGCACAGGGATAATCCAATTAGTGGTGCATCGATACTAGATAACTTGTACAAGTAAAGAAAGAAAGCAGCATTCTATATTATTTCCGACGGCTGATTTTCCGCGGCTAAAACATTGTTCGATCCGGTCGAAGCCGGAGAAACCCATTTTCTCAATTTTTTTTTTTCAAAAAGCCGAAATTTTAAAGTTTAATCAAATATTAAATTATTTCCATGTCAAAACTATTCAATAGCATTGCTTTCAATAAAATGTTTACTATATCCCAGGCTTGAAAACAACAAGCCTGATTTTTTCTACTAAAAAATTTCTGACCACTGAGCGGATCGAACGCCCAACTTTTCGATCTGGAGTCGAACGCGCTACCATTGCGCCAAGCAGTCATGCCCTTGATGGGTTGAAACGGCGTATAGGAGAAGAGTGATAACGAGAGAGCCAGCAATCGAGATAGCGAGTGATAGTGTTGAAATCGGCATGACGCACACACCGGAAAACTGTTGCCACGGACGGAGCGCGCATCTGTAGCGGATCTCGAGGGCAAGCCTCGTCGACTAATCTACACCGCACATCTCATCAGTCGCACCCGTTTTTGAATGTTCCGCATACGAGGCACACACCCTCCGCCACCAATCCATCATTTCACCCCGCCGCCCTCCGCCCGCCTCCTACAGTATGCCGGAAAATGTGGGCGGCGCGTGGTTGCACATGAGGAAATTGAGGCGGGTGTGGATGTGGCGGCGATGGCGACGACGGCGACGGCCAACAGCAGCATCGTTGAGGAGATCGCAATCAATTTTGCGCAAAAATAGTAGTCATCGCCGATTTAGTACAAGGTGTGACAAATGGGTATTCCGCGCTTAGCGGATCCCATTTTTGAGCATTTTGCCCGTTGTTTTTTTTGTCATTCTATTTCGTTTCTCTCTTTTTCTCTATCGTTGTGTTGCTTTTAATTGCAACCCTCATTGGTTGGTTTCGTTTGCAGAAGCCCCCCCCCCTCCCTCATTCTTTCCCAAGATCGCCTCATTTCCAATCCATTTGATTCATGATACCTTGACACCACTATGATTATCCCATATTGGACATCGTATTCGAAAAACCGTTGGCGATTTGGTGAGGCACTCGTTTGGTGTGTTCGGCCCCGTTCGATTCCCATCATTATTTTTGTTGCGCCCCATTTGGTGTGTCGTCTACAGCCATTGAAAAATGTCTCATCTTCTTGTTACCTTCATTATCTCTAAACATTATTTCTTGTTGAATAGCGTTCGTGGCGATTAATTGAGGGGGGCTGGCGTCGAGTTGTTAAATGTGAGAGCAATGAGTTTTACTCAAACTTGATGTTCCACACCGTTATGTGTGAGAACTAATAGCTCCTCTTTTTATCAATCCTCATACGGTATCGTCGATCAGTATCAATTGTGCAATAATAGAACAATGAAGAGCTCTTCGACTCCCGAGCTCTAATAAATTGTTATCATTCCTCGATTTCGCGTTGCAGCCTTATCGTTCCTCATTCTTCCTGTCTCGTTTCCAATGATATCGTGAGGTCATGCTCATGCTCTTTTGTTTGTTCCTTACGTCACTACATATACAACTAATGCTTACGACTAATTTGCCTTTTATTATTTTTTTTTTGGTGAATGATTGCAATTTTCGAAACGTGATACTCTTAATTGGATCTGACAGAATATTTGAATTCTTTTGAAGAATCATAGTGCCTCCAAAGTGAAAGAGATTCCAGATCACCGTAATGCCATTTTAAACATTCTCAATTATTTTTGCCGGAAACAATTAGGTCTAACTCAATAATATTAAATTTGAGTTGAAGGATGGTTTGACTGCTCCGATATGAGCACTTCGATTATCTCAAACATTTTGGGTATTTCGTACCGTAGCCTTTACTTTCCAATGACCTCATTGAGTGCTTTTTTCGGTATTAAATCGGTCGTTAGTAAAACCGTTTTTTTTGTGTGTGTGTGCCGGAACAAAACGGTCAAGTTCAAATTCGATTTGGCGGCTTGTCAGATCGTATTGCGGTATGTGCGGAGTGCGAAGCGAAGATGAAACGGGAAACCCGTCCGATTAATGGTGCAATTGTCGCCAAAAAGGACCCTGGCGCAACCTTGAGGACGCCAAAGCGGCGAATCAGGAGAATCGCATCGAATCGCCCGATTCCAGGCAGGCGAACGACGATTCGACGAGAAAAAAAAACTTGTAGCTGAAATATGTGGTTGTGAGGCAAGCAGGCTATGCAGTAAGTAAGAAGGTAATTATTTGATTCGAAAAGGGTCGTCCAAATTGGCTACAAGACCGGCCGATTTTCCCGGATTCCGGCAATTTGACTACTCGAGTAACCAATTTACTTGTTTATCCGGTCCGCGTGTCCGCTTCAGCCTCACCAACTATTTCATATCTCAGTAGTCTCGTTTCGAACAGCCACCCGAGTACGGTATGTCGTTTTACTTGAGATTTTCTTCTAAATTTTTTAAAGTCTGAACACCTTTAATACAATTGAATCTCATTTCTTCAAGCAGTTTGATCAATTGATTTCAACGGGGTTTATCATATTAGTTGAAAACACTTCTAGAATTTTAGTATTGTTTTCAAATCAACCAAAAATTTCTTCTCGTGACGACACAGTTGATAAATAGTGAATAAGACAGTCTTATAATTTCCTATTTTCTGAGTTTTCTCCGACAAGACCACTCCTTTATTACTCGACCGTCATAATTTTTAATGAGGGAACCCGGAAATTGACGATTCACCTCATTAAAAAAAGGTAGAAAAATCCGGTTTCTTCTTACCGTTTTTAGTAGTGGTAAATCCAGTAGATATATTCGCAATTTTAAGACAATCATTCAAAATTTGTGTTGTCACGAAAAGATGGAAACCGTTGAGAAATCGAAACAACACTTGCGAGTATCTGGTTTCGCCGTATGAGAATCGGGCCAGTTTCTTCCGGGCAAAGTTGGCACTTGTCATCTTGTCGTCCTTTGTTGTTTTTCGGTTTTGATAACGTGTTGATGAGCACAAAGAGCCGCCGAGTTTGGTGCGAAGCGAGCGAGTGCAGCGGAATGAGAGACGCAGCGTCTCACAAAGAGGTTGCGGTAAAAAATTAAAGGGAATAGTGCGTTGTAAACGGTATTTTCGGTAAAGATGCGCCAAAATATTTATTGTGATGTTAAGTACCCAAAAATTCGACAAATCTTTTTCTATTGATGTATTTTATGATACTATGCAGATTTTGAGAAAAACTCAAAAAATATATGCACTTTTCTGAGCCATTTTTCAAATATTTAGATCAGTATTTGAGAGAGACCCATACATAAATTTATTTACAATTTCAATTATTTCAAATTACCTGACTACCTGACTTGTTTTGTTACAGCTCATTTCTAAATATGTGTAGCACGAAATATCGATAAGTTGAAGGCATTCCTTGTTTTTTTTTTTGAGTTTTTTCGAAACGCTAGAAAAAAAATCCAAAATCTGAAAGTGTTAATGATGCTTGAAAGGTTTTGAAGAAAAATTTTTAAAATAACCCCGGTTAAAAATAGTTTTTTTTTGCGAAATACCATATTAGATAAGAACCTCACAACTCAATTTCATCAGCATAATTAATATAGTTTATAATATTTAATAAACTAATACAAGATGATTCAATTCCTGTTAGAAATTCTGAAAAAATCTCAAAAAACGTCGCATTAAATAAAAAGTCAATGTTTTGGGAGATTGTGTGTGAAAATGGCAGCCTCTCGGAAATTCAATTTCGAATTGGCGATCAATCAACGATTTGAACCACATTTTTCCCATTATCCTAAATTCCCACTTGACTGTTCACCTGACACCTTGCTGTCTTTCTTGAGCTTCGATAATCCTTGGACGGAGGCGGGCGGTCGCGCATCAAAGCAGCGGCCGCTCGCGATCCGCCCCGCCCACTATTCGAGCCCTTCCTCGTCAGTTTATCCACGCAAAACATCATTATTCATATTTTATCGCTCATTAATGCGACGAATTTTTGTAATCATTTTATGACATTTTTGTAATTTCCTTATTGTCGTTCCGTTGCATATTTAAATGGCCCGCGAAATTCGATCATCAACGGTGAATTGGATCGGTTTGCTCGGCTCGGCCCTTCCTAATCATCAACATGTGGTTGCGATTTTCGCGTCGTCGAGCTCCATCTGCAATCTGATGCTTCGAAAAAAAACCACATTATTCACACTTTTCGCGATTGCCTCACTTTTCAATCATTTTTAATTGCGCGCACACACCTTTGTCGAAATTTCCGACGCATTTGTTTAAACGCTGACCCAATCGAAATGCTACGGTAGCGATTCGGTGAGTGCTTGGCCATCCATCCCGACGTTATCATCCCCCTTCATGTACACCATTTGTGGAATACAGTGAACGATGACACGGTGCTTGAGGCGGTGAAGGCAGTCGCCGCCGCCGCCGCCGCCGCCGCCGCCGCCGCACTCGAAACACTTTAGTCAAATAAAAATGTAATCATAAGCATTCTAATAACAATAATAATTGTTTGTTCGAAACCAAACACGGTTTTGCGAAGAAGAACATTGTCGAAAATCTCCGACGAATTGCGCGCTATTTCGATAATCACGCAACCCCGCGGGCTCATTGCGTCGCATGCTTCGTCATTCAAACAAAATAATTTCCGGCGGGTGCCGACAAATTCGCGACGAACCCCCCTCAACTCTCACGTGTTGATTTCGATAATCATTGCCTATTTGTGGGTTGATCAACGGAACCAGTTCCTCTTCTTCCTCAACGGTGTCCATCTTCTTCGCATTCCTCTCGCCATCTTCGTTTTCATCATCGCCCACCTCCGATTCTTCGCTTTCTCCATCTTCTACTATCGAAACGCCATATCATCAACAAACACTCATTATTTTATCAATATACACAATATATCTTCCCAGTGCGTTTTTTTCTTCAAATTCCAAATTCCCTCGGATTCCCGTTTTGACACCTTCACGTCGGCATCTGAAAAAGAATCGGCCTAGGTGTGAGCTGGGAACCGGCAAAGTGCTGATGCATGTGCGAGCGGCTTGTCACATTTCCGATATTCCGTTTTAACCCCTAATTATTCATTATTTTTAGACAAATTACTAAACTATATCAATATTGAAGATTTGAAAACTCTGTGATTTCTTTTGGTCTTCGCCGCCTTTAGAATATTCGCCACTATTTTTTATTGAAACGAGATTTGCCATTTCATTTTTGAATTAACAATATTATAATCAGAAAAAGAGATTTTTAAAATCGATTTTGCCAGTTAAAAAATAAAATTTAATTCTAAAAAATTTCTGAACTTTTGACATCAACATTCCAAACATACCAAACTTTTTTGAATCGAACCTCATACTTCAAGTTCACTTTTTTTCTATTTAATAATTAAAAACAATCGCATCAAAGAACGATGATATTACATCGTAATCCCCATTATTTGATTTTAAAAAGTTTCATAATTTTTTATTAAAAATTGTAAGAAATATGTTTCATTTTAGCCCTTCTTTTGATATCATATTTTTCATTTTGTTCAGCAAGTAAAAGGCATTTCTTTTTCGCTTATAAACAGTTCGATTTCTAGTTATATTCTTGTCACATGTGTATCAATCTCGCCTCGCCTTGTCGGTTGTTTCCAATATTTGGCAACAAGTCGTTTCAGCAATTCATTCGATTTTCTTTGACAATCCACCAATTCGCTTTGATGTCGCCGGCGTTCTGAATGGCCGACGGCTCGCACATCACCTGATTCATCAACACCTTTCACGGTTCCCAGCTCGCACCCGCCCTTTTCGGCACCACAACCGCTAGTTTCCGGTCCCGATCTGATGCTGCTCGCCAACCCCCCACCAAAGAATAGTCCCACCAATTCTCGATGTGTCATCGTTGTTTCGTGCGCCAAAAAATGGGCACCGATTATTTGTGCGCATGTTCTAATCAAATTTTGTTGGTGTCTTCTTCGCCCGGATACTCTATATTATTTTTTTTTGTGTTCAACACCGACACTCACCTTATTGTTCTTTTCTTCCAATTTTATTTGTGTGGGGGTGTATCAATAGTATGTGTGATTCATTGCTATTGGTGACACTATGATAATTTGGGAGCCCTCTATTTTCATCTTCTTCCTCCTTCCTTCAATGTCTAATCTTCATTTGCCTTCTGGAAATTTGATCAAACATTGTCGCACTGATTAGAGGAAAAAACACACGCACCCATCGTTGCGGGTGTTTCGCCTCGAGAAGTCAATCGATAATTGAGTCTTTCTTCTAATCACCACCGAGGGCCGCTGGCCGACGCCTTATCATCATTTCCTTTTTCAACTATCCAAATATCTGTCGTCATTCTCTTTCCGGTTGCCCGATCGATCTAATTCGATTCGCGTACTATTGATAATTTATGAATGTTCGTTTTTTTCCAGAAAACCACCAGATGAATATCAGTGATATAATGGCAACATCGGCCGCTGCGTCGAGTCCGATGACGACACCCGGCGATTCGAATATCACACTCTGGCAGTTTCTTCTCGAACTATTGGTATCGGAAAAACATAACGATATTATCCAATGGACGAGGTGTGCCGATGGCGAGTTTAAGGTAACCTTAATACTATATTTTATTCTCTTAAAATGGCTAGAAATTGTCATTGGAATGAAGCCAGAAGTTGGTTGATCAGAAGTTCATAAACATTGCCAATCTCATAAAAAACTTTTATGATGCGATCCGTAATAAAACGAATATGTTTATGTGTTTCTCATTAAATGGAATTATTTTAATTTGGGTTGTCTTTAAATGAAACAATATTTTCAGCTTCTCGATGCTGAAGCCGTGGCTCGTTTATGGGGAGTGCGAAAACACAAACCGAATATGAATTATGATAAATTATCGCGGGCTCTTCGATATTATTACGAGAAGAATATTATTAAAAAGGTGCTGCTGTTTTTAATTGTTTTATTTATCATTTATCAATTTATTCTTTTTTAGGTTGTTGGCCAGAAATTTGTATATAGATTCGTAGCGCCAACTGAGTCGCATCACTCGTCTTTCGATTTCGGGAAGGTTAAAGAAGAGAGTTCTTCTGAAGCCGGAAGCTTCGTAAGCAACTCGCCGAATAGCATGAATGTTCCAGTGTGTTCCGCTAGTAACTTCAGCGCTTTGAGCTTGGCGAACGCCGGCTCACCTCGAAGTACTGTACATAGTATATCGACGCCGTCGCCTTCAAATAGGTACGTTTTGCAAATCCGTTCCAAGCAATTCTATATCTTTGTTTTGAAGCACATGTTCGCCGTCAAGCTCGATTGCGTCAAACTCATCGGCTTCACTGATGACTGGCGCCAATCATTCGACGTCTCCGGCACCGTCAACGTCATCTCCGACGACTCAGGATGAGCAAAAATCGGCGACAAGGAAACGACAAAATTCGACGAATAATGCCGACCATCCACCGCCTCGTCGAACCAAACCGAATCCGCTTAATTTGTCGGCAACCTCGAATTTTTTGAATTCGGCCGCACAATTCTCGCCGATGCTGCTGTTCCATCAAAACTCGCCGCATTTCCAGCCTGCTATCAATCAGCTGTATGCATTGGCGTCAGCATCACTGGCTTCCGCTGGAATGTATGGTCCGCAGATGTCGCCGCTGCTCGCTGCCCAGAGTCCATTTAGATCGCCACTCGCCACGCCGAAGGGAAACGGAGTTTCGACGCCAACCACACAACCACAGGTCATTGTTTCAAGTCGACTTTTTTGTTTTATTCGCAATTTTCAGGTGTTCCAATTTCCACCGACCTCATCATTCGGCACGTCGCTCATCAATCCCTTCTCAGCTCTAATCAGTCCTAGTCTTCCATTCATGCTTCAGTCTCCATCAAGCACCCAATTCAAATTTCCGAGCTCCGAGGCGCTTAAAACTCCAACTGTGCCGCTGAAAACTCGGTCGACATGAGCAAAAGTATTTGTCTAGTTTCGACCGTCTGATCTCCCGCCCGATGACAGCGAGTACCACTTGCCAGCCAGTTGATCCTCCAAAAATACTTTTTTTTTCTTCTCTTTTTCGATTGTTTTTCTTTTATTGTTGCATTCGATCAAAATCGTTTTTTGCTCATCTAGTTTAAGATTTCTTAGGCTTTAATTGCTCCAATCAATTATTATTATTATCACTATCTCCGTGAGTCATTGTTTTCCTTAATAATTATTGATGCATTTTTTGTTACATTTTTTGGTGCCTTTTAATTTGTCTCCATGTCACTTTGAATTGTTGCATTTTTATAGAGAAATTGTATAATATTATATTGTAATGTTTTCCAATATTTTTCAAACCAAAAAACATAATAAACATGAATATAACAAAGAAATACAGATCTCAATCCTCATTTCTTTTCGATTTCCTATTATGTATTATCATCTTAGATTTTCAAAAACACAAACTTATTGGCCGAATTTTGCGATAAGGTTTTTAGAATGATTGATAAGGGTTTCAGAATGATTGCTAAGGTTTTCAGAATGAGTTTAGAATGATTTATTGATGACAATTTAACCGAATGGAGCCGCTGCGCCCCGTATAAAAGGCGCCGTTATCAACGAGTCTAATTCCCCCACTGCCGTCCCATCTGTGGCCCCCACCGCATGCAGCTTATATTTCATTGTTTTACTTGTTATTATTATATTTAATCAATAAACCGTCGTAATAAGCAGCTTGTGCATCACCCACTCTTACATTGGTAGCTGCGAGTGGTTGCTACGAGTTGCATCACCACCGATGGGAAAGGACACCAGGTAAGTCAGTTTTCTTTTCTACAGAAGGGAAAAAGGTAACAAAAGTTACCTGAGTAGACCACAGCGGGTGAGAAGAGATGCAGGAGGAGAAATTGAATTGGCGCTAGGGACCCCTCAAACTGTATCGGGTAGTATGCGCGAAGACCGTCAAAATTGAACCAAACACCGAACGGCTGATACCAGCGACATTCCAAGAAACACCAAAAACACAAGATAAACTGTTTATTATTACAGGAATGGACGAAAACATCAACGACATTATTCCACCCTCGATTCCACCCACGGTGATAACGGAAACAATGGGTAAGTTCCGCATCATCGTCTCGAATTTTTCAGATGTCCCACTAAAAATATTCCAAGGTCAGACCTTGGGACGGGTAGAAGTTGTAGGGGTAGGTAGTCGAGGACGACTGCGGATGGTCCGGAGCGACCAAGAGGGAGGCGAAGCGGAAAACGCCAACGCACTATTCGACTTGGCCGACATGGAAATTGACCAGAAGGAGCGGCGAAAAGTCACCAAGCTCCTCACGGAGTTCTTGGACATATTCAACAAGGACCAATACGATCTCGGAACATTCACCGGCGGCTCGTTCAACATCAAGACCACGAGTGAAGTGCCGATACCGTACCGCCACCGACCGATACCCATGAAGTTCCAAGCGCAGGTGGAGAAGCATTTTGAAGACCTGTTAGAGGCCGGCGTGGTAATCGAATCAGATTCTCCATGGCTGATCGTGCCGGTGGAAAAAAAGGACGGTGCAATGAGATGCTGCTTGGATTTCAGAGAGCTGAACAAGATTTCGATTCCGGAGTTCCCACTACCAACACTATTGGAGTGCTTTGCCCGCATCGGGGGCAAGGGATTCTATTCAACGTTAGACGCCAGCAGTGGGTACCATCAATTGAAACTCGACGAGTCAAGCTTCTACAAATGCGCGGCTTTAACGTCAAAAGAAATATACCAGTTCGTCTCAGTACCATTCGGCCTCAAGAGCGCAGGATCATACTTCTGCCGAGCTATGGCAAAACTTCTGCGAGGACTCGATTCAGTGGCACTGAACTACATCAACGACGTTCTCGTTTTCTCGGACGGACCATCAGTGGACGACCACGTGAAGGCATTGAGAAAAGAGTTCCAACGATTCCGAGAGTACAACATCAAACTGTTACCGAAGAAATGCAACTTCCTCAAAAAGAAATTAATATTCTTAGGACACGAGATATCCACGGACCATTACACCCCAGCTGCACGGAACATCGAAGCAATGAAGAAATTCCCGACGCCTAAGACGACACGGGAGGTGAAACGATTCCTGGGCATGTGCGGATTCTTCCGCAAGTTCCAGCACAACTTCGCACAAATAGCTGAGCCGTTGGTACGATTGACACGAGGATCAGCAACATTCCGATGGGAAGACCAACAACAACAAGCCTTCGAGAACCTCCGCAATAATCTCTGCGCAACCCCTATACTCCGCTATCCTGATTACTCAAAACCGTTCTACATCTTCACGGACGCGCTATCAAATTCTCATTACGATCGTTCCGTCCATACATCTTCCAGCATGAAACAATCCTGATGAGCGACCATAGACCGTTGACATACTTGTCGGAACGAGCGCCACTCCACGCGAATTTGGCGCGATGGGCAATCGAACCCCAAAGTTACAACGTAACTATACAATACGTCAAAGGGAAGCAGAACACGGTAGCCGACGCCATAAGCAGGATGGACGAAGACACATCGGACGACAAAATGACCACAATACCGGAGATGGAAGATGTGATCGAATACCCAGTATATCTTGCAATGTCAGCTCACGTCCAGATCGAAGGTACCAATCAAACCAAGCAGACAAATGCCGAGAGTCGCAAGAAGGGGATCCAACATGCGAAGAAATTCGGACACGCTTGGAACGAGGAGATCCGGCTGTCGAAGGCACGCCGATGGCTCACTACATGATCAACGAACAAGGTTTGGTCGTGATCAACATTCCGATACAGAATACCGACGTGTACCTACCAGTAATTTCGGAACAGTTACGACACAGGATATTCGAAGAATTCCACTCTGGAGCATTAGGAGAAGGACATTTCAACGCCGCCAAGACACTTGCAAAAATGAGGAGGAAGGCATTCTGGCCCAGCATGAGCAAAGAGATATATCAGTGGTGTCAACAATGCGAATTGTGTCAACGGCGAAGGAACCCCCAGATAGCTTATCGGCAGACATTACGATCAGTCACGACAGGGGCAGTGTTCACCAAGTTTGTCATCGCTATCCCCATCCCCGACGCTAGATCGTCAACAGTCGCAGCGGTGTTAGTCAACGAGATCATCACGCGGTTCGGATTCATGTACGAATTGGTGTCGGATAACGGGAGAAATTTCACCGCCGAGCTATTCCAAGAAGTGTGCAACTTGCTACAAATCCGAAAAATCTTCACGACGCCTTACCATAGCCAATCGAATGGAGTGACTGAAAGAACATTCCGCACATTCCAGACGATGCTCTCAAAAGTAGTATAACCATCGACATCCGACTGGGACGAACACCTGCTGTGGTGTACAGTACCGCTCAAAAGTTGGAAACTTTTGGTTTTTTGGGCATAACTTGATGGAAACCGTATGAATCGAGGTGAAACTTTCAGATATATTGATAAATATAATCAGAAGATTATGTTTGAAAAGATGAGAAACTCAAGGAGGGGTCCCAAAAAAGTACCATATTGGTCCTTCACGCGTGACAGATCGTGCGACTGATAGAAGCATTGTACGAGCCTCGAAATTCAACCCGCGAATGACGGCACCGGCGATCCAGCACGAAGTTATTGCCAATTCGCCATCGCCTGTTTCGGTATCAACAATCAAACGCCGTTTATCAGCGGCAGGATTGCTCGGATGATAACCAGGGAAGAAACCGTTCGTTTCGGAGAAGAATAGACGACGCCAGGTCGAGTGGGATAAGCAACATCTGAATTGGACGCGATTTGACTGGAATGGTGTTCTTTGGTCGGATGAAAGCTCTTTGGAAGTGACGGAATTCAATCGATCCGCCGTCCTGTAGGTTCTCAATACAATCCCAAGTATCAAACTCCTACCGAAAAGCACGGGGGAGGCAATTTCATGATTGGGGGTGCCTTTTCCGGAAAAGGCTTCACCATGTGAAAACAATCATGGATTGCTTCGTCTATAAGGAGATCCTGAAGAAGCAGATGTTGCCGCATTTTAAGGCAATGGGTCGTGGTTGTGTTTACCAACAGGACAACGACCCAAAGCACACTTCCAAATTTGTGAAATTAAGAAAATTCGCTTTTTTTCTCAAATATTCATCAATTGAGGATTGGTTCGCAAGTCAGCACATCAAGGTTATAGACTGGCAAAGTCAATCCCCGGACCTCAATCCCATCGAGCACTTGTGGGAAGAGTTGGAGAGAAGAGTGGCAAGCAGAACTGCCACAAATTTGAACGAAAAGTTCCGACAATTGGAAGAAGAATGGAAAAAGATTCCACTCTCGGACATCGACAACTTGATCGACTCCATGTCTCGCAGGTGCCAGGCGGTTATTGACTTCGGAGGCTTTGTAACCAAGTATTAACCTTACAATTTCAGTTTCCAATGATTTTGTGTTGATAAACTATCTTTCCGGTAAAAAAAACCGACTTAAATTGCATATCCAAAAAAATGTGTTTTTACGGATTTCTGAAAAAATGACCTAAAATCCTTATTTGGTATGCACGAATCATGTCTAATAGCTCATTATATCGGCAATTACGTAAGAAACAATCGGAAAAAAAGTTCGTGGAAAAAAGTTTGATTTCAAAAAAGTTATGCCCAAAAAACCAAAAGTTTCCAACCTTTTGAGCAGTGTGCGCACTCGATCTCAAAATCGTTAAAAAATCGATCTTGCTCGAGAATTTAAAGATCGATCGAACCCGAGATCGATCGAGCATTTCGAGCGCTCGAGATCGATCGATCCCGGGATCGATCGAGCACAGGTAAGTTCGATCTCGGGATCGATCGATCTCGAGCGCTCGATCGATTTTTAGAAAGATCGATCGATCCCGATCGATTTTCGCTACCAAGATCGATCATACTCGATCGAGCGCTCACACTGCTTTTGAGCGGTACTGTACGTTCGCATATAACGTTACGCCACACGAGACAACGGCAGAAACACCATATTTCTTGATGTACGGACGAATTCCACTTGTACCAGTCGACAAAATACTGGGAACGGAAGCGCCGACTTTCCACAAGAACGGCGAGCTGGAGGAGTTCCGGGCCACGTTGATCAAGGCAATAAGAGAAGCGCGGGAACAAGCAACAGAGCACGCGAAGAAGGCAAGGGAAGACATGAAGACACAATACGACAAGCACGAAAGAGTCAACCCGATCCGAGAAGGCGACTTGGTTTTCCTGAAGAAGTTCGCGATCAACATTGGCGAAGCACGCAAACTGACACTCTCATGGACGGGATATTTCCGCGTCGAAAAGATCCCAGATCCGGATCACGTCATCATATCCAACTGCGCGGTACACCGCCAGAAACCGAGGCGAGTGCACATAACACAAGTCAAGCTGGCGATACCACCGGCACAACCAATCGTCACAACAACGCAGTTGACGGAGGAAGAAAACAGAGCCTTAGAGAACGCAAATACCACGGAAGACGATGTTATCGGAATCATGTCTCACGACATGACCTCGCCCAGCAAAGAGCCGGAACCCACCGAACCTTCATCGAATGACAGAGAACCTCGATACAACCTACGCCCCCACAAACCCCCAAAATTTTCCCTCATCTTTGACAGACAGTAATTTTACAAATTTCAGAACCTGCATCGACAACATCACCAATAGACAGCGCACCACAGGGTGCGCTCTCTGCCGATAGGGTCAAGCAAGAGGAAGAGCTGATGAGCACGGAAGGGACTGCACAACATTTCCAAGAAACACCGATTTCAAAAAAGACCACTATAGCCGACGTGGTATCACACACTGAACGCACGATGAAGCCGACAACATACCGGACGTACGATCAAGCAGTACAGGCACCCCGATCCGGCAACCCACACGTGTACGGATAAATATCGTTCGTATACGGAGGAAAAGCGCTGATCCACGTGCGCGAAGGTCTAGAGATTATCACCATTCGGGCCGATCAATTCACCCTGCTAGAGGGCACGACAGACGGAGTCGACTTCGCCACCGTTCCCTTGTCAACAACAGTGCGGGTGTTTGGAATCTGCAGTGGAGCGACGAACTGCGCCAAAAGCACGAAGACACCTCGACTGCACCAGACCAAATGACGGGCAACGCGGATTCAACTGGTCCGCACCGATCTTATCCGCGTCCGCACAGTAGCCATCACGGAACCGCGACTGACGTCGGACTCTCAAGTCGTCAAGCTGATAACAGGCCACACACCGTACGGCTACAGGATGCGAGTCGACTTGATACCAGTTCATGACCAGAGACGAATGATCAGCGAAAACAGCGAAAACAATGCCGGACAATTCTACATGGTCGACGCAGTACGGATGCCGCCGTTTTTCCATCAAACAGACGACGCGAAAGGAGTCGCCGTGACATTCAATGCAGAAGAGAAGAAGGCGTATAAACGACGAGTTCAAGACGACGACAGACAACCACCCCCACGTCCTGAATGGATTTTGTCAGATCAGACCGACGACGAGATACGAGATTGAGATGATCGAGAACAAATGCAAGGATGTGCCAGTAAACCAATTTGAGATACATCAAACGTATGTCGGCTCGGCAGCCACCGCAGTCGCCGCCTACGTCGACCGTGCTCAAAGTCGACATGTCAGGGAGCAGACAGTTCAACGCGCAATCCAGATCAAGGCCCGACGAGAGCTGCTTACCACGACCATACCGATACCCAGAAACTTCGTCGAAGACGCCGATCCCCTAACCGATTCATGGATCACGGGAAAAACAGTTTCGGCACGCTTCCCAGTGGACGGAAGACGATTCACCACCTTGGCGACAATCACGGAGATCAACGTATGCAGAACTGAAGCAACCGTTGGGCTCCAGTTCCCACAATCAGCTACCCAATTCATCAAAGCCTGGATGGCAGAACACGCGGAAAATAATGTCACCATTGGACCTGACCCGGAACAAAGTATGGACGCTACGCAAGCCATCAAGAGTGAGTTCAAGAAGACCACAGTACAGTCGGAAATCTATCAACAATACATAGGAAGGAAGACAGCCCAAAAGAAGCAGCAGTTGGTAACCAAGGAGCAGCGCCAACTCGGGAACATCACCTTGGACGAGGCCCAAACAGACGCGCTACGATCAAGCTTGGCTCGACAAGGAATCAGCGTCACCATCGCCCCACCCGGATCCGGAAAAACGGTGCTAGTCTCTGCTTTAACCAAGCAGTGGCTAGAATCAAAGGAAGCTTCAACCATTGTCATCACTGGCCCAACGAACCAGGCAATTTCGTCTTCATTGGCACCGCTGGAGGCCGTTATTCCACTGGAGGAGAGACGAATGTGCCGATACACATCCAAGCACATCGCCGACAAAGACACCGACGATCAGCGATTCTTCATCGAAAATATGGCTTACCGATACGAAGAATTCATCACGGACCCCATCCAGCAGATGTTATTGAAAACGAGGCGGGACGCTCTTGTTGCGGCGGAAAGGGAATTGGAAGAAGCAACGACCGCCCTCGAGATTCTGGATAAGCAGGAGAAGACAAGGAAGGCTCGACAGGAACTTATGGCCGAGTTCGAAATGCTGTGGAAACCAAACATCATTGCCACCACATCAACGCTCTTATTGCGAAACCGCGAAAGAAAGTCGTGCCGAGATGCGACGCACATAATCATCGACGAAGCATCTCGCCTCCACCCACCACATCTCTTAGCGATGATCGCGAGCTTCCGACAATTGAGGAAGATCACGCTCATCGGAGACTCGGAGCAGTTGGCCCCATTCTACCCAGCACCAGACGGAGCAGACATCAAGAAATACGTAGGAGAAGCAGACTTGGTACGACTGAAGAACGCATACCCGAAAGCAGTCGTTCATCTGGAGAAGATATACCGAGCTCACCCCCTCATCACGCGAAACGTCTTGGGAAATTGCTATCCCTACCGAGTGGAACCAGGAATCACTGAAGAGAAGCGACCGATGGCAAGAAACGCAGGGCTACCAATTGCAGCGGATGGTACACCGGTGATACTGTACCACACGAAAGGAGTATCGGAAGGTAGAGTGAACACGGCAGAGGCTGAGCTCATTCACTGGCTTGTACAACACTTGAGATCGAGAGGTGTAGACAGGGACGACATATTGGTGCTGACCTACCACACCAATCAGCGGGACCATCTGCGCAGGATCCTTCGAGATGTCCCGGTCGAGACGATTGATGGATCGCAAGGAAGACAGGCGCCTATCGTGATATTGGCAACAACAAAGCGAGCGACAACGACTGTGCCTGCATCTATTCAGCGGTCGCTACGATTCGTCGGAGACGCAAAAAGATCGACAGTGGCCATCTCCAGGGCGATGCAGGCTCTCTACATCTTCGGAGACATCGAGCATTGTGCAGTGGGCAAGGAACAATGGAGCAGTCCGGACGCCGGCGCGGAGGAATGAACACACCGAAGAGACAGCGACAGCATACCGGGGATGGTCCTGAGCGGCCGGGAAGGTGTAACCGAATGGAGCCGCGCACCGCATTCACCTTATATTTCATTGTTTTACTTGTTATTATTATATTAAATCAATAAACCGTCGTAATAAGCAACTTGTGCATCACACACTCTTACAACGACATCAAACGAATATCTGCAAATTTAACAATTTCTAATTTAAATTTTTAGCCTAAACAAGATATTTCAAAATTATCAACAGAAAAAAATTATTTCAAACAAAAATGTGAGAATAAATAACTGGAATGTTTTTCGATAAAATTCGCAAAAAAAAAAAAACGAGCAACTTGTGTTTGCGATGAGTTCGATTTGCTGGTTTTCAGAATCAAAATGCCCAGGTTTATTTCCAAATTTGAAATACCGCATCGAAAAAAAATAATGGCGACCATCGGTTCATTATGATCGTTAATTGCGATTATAATAATATATAAAAAATAATTATTAAAACTAATAAAACTGGTCCATGTCTCGAAAACTCGAAGTTTGCGCAGGGAAATTTTTAAAAGAATCTGTATGCAAAAACTAAAAATATTTTTAGACAAACAACAAAAAGACCTCTATTGTAAGGTGGCATACTCGACTCCAAAATAAAAATTTTAGAAATGAAAAAAAAAAACATTGAAAAAATAAATATTCTGACATGAATAATTGAAGTGTCTAGTCAATAGAACACTTTGCTGATTTGCCATTGGGACATTAGCTGGCCACCAATGCGTATTTCTGACGGACACGCAGAGAAAACGACGCAATCGTCTCCATAGCAACGTTCATCTCGGTGCGTTTTTCGTTCCAACCAGGATGTGTACTATTTGAAATTTTATTTTATTATCATTCTGAAATAGTTTAATGTTTAATTTTTTCAATATACATATTTCAGATTGTAGATTTAGATGGCTGAACTGTTTATCAGTGGACAAATTGAAGGAGCATCCGGTTTTCTTGACAATCAGGTCTCCGTTCGATGGCATGTATCTCATGGTATGTATAATTAAACTTGATTAATTAGGCAATTATGCATTTGAGGTGGTGGGTGGCGTGTAATAGCAGGGGAATCTGAAGGTCAGACTCAAACTGATTGTCCTCGAACATTTGAAGAAGCGCATTTTTCTCATCCCATTGATCTTCATTTGGCAACGAGTACCATTCAAGGTAGTATAATAATTTCAGATAATTGATTTTAATTTTAATTTCATTTCAGGATGGCCGAAACTTATTCTTCAGGTTTGGCACCTCGACAACTATGGTAGACAAGAGATTGCTGGCTACGGAACCATGATGCTGCCCACTTCAAGTGGCGCTCATCGTTTGGAATGTGGTTGTTGGAGACCGAAAGGAAACTGGAGACAGGAGATGATGCAGAAATATATTGGAGGGGGAATGCAGGTTAAAAAATTATTTCCTTGAGCATCTTCAATTGAAACGTAATTTAGCTTGCAAATTTGAGTATTCTCGAGGATCCAACAGAACGGGCGAAAATTGCAACTGTATCAACTGGAACCGTTTATTTTGAATTGAATGTCATTACGAAGAACTTCCAACGATACGGAATTGTGTCATAATTCTCAGAGAAATTGTAAAATAATAAATATATTTATATAGGTTACTGTATTTAAATTGTACGCAAGTAAGTTATGCCTATGTTTACGTACGCAATTTCTTTTTTTTTTCTGATCGTGCATTTTGTCATAAATTCGTTTTCTCAATTTTGAATAATTCACTTCATTATACTTTATTGCATGCCGTTTAGTTTTTTCATTTGGTAATAAGTGCATGCATTCAAAATTTTTACAGGTAATTAATTACTTTCACGCTCGTACGTGTTCGCCAATTTTCCAACAACACCATTTTATTTTCTTGTAAGAAAGGATGTTCATGCTCACGGAGTTTCTAATCAAACATCACTTCATAAAGGTAAATTTTTTTAAAGAATGTTAGCATGTTTTGAATATCCAAACATGAAAAGAACTTAATATACGCTTGGATTTATATACAACCGTTATGACGTCTCTGTAATGTACTTTTAAAATCTAACAAACGAAATAATGAAAAAAAACAAACGACCGAATAATATTTTACATATAAACAAATTAAAAGATTACTTTGCCACTAAGGCTTTTAAAATTTTTACCTGACATGTTTCCTGACAGTACGTTTTACTATGTATCTCGAGAAATTTCCGTTTAAGCAAAGTCTGTGTAATGCTAAAAATCGGTGAAACTAAATTCCAACTCTCAAATTTGGGCGATTCTTCATGCCGAATAGAGAGGGTGGAGACATTGGTTGAAGGCGCACAAATGCGCTCAACCGCGAGGGTCTCGTCACGCCGGTCGAAAAATGGAAATACTGCTGGCCGCAGAGGCCAACAATCGATCTTGTATCTCATAGTCATTGATTCTCGCCCGTGTATTTTTAATTTGCTCTATAAATTTACGTTCCATCATCACGTTTATGCACAATTACCAGTTACACAACATAGTTACAGCCCACAAATCAGTCTGCATAGACGCGTGATACATTTGGAGTGTATTCTTACAATATTTTCACCATTCTCGCATTTTTCTCGTTTTTTGAATTTCGCATATTTCGAATAATTGTTGAATTTTAGCCATGTCTTACGATTTGCAAACCGCCGAGAAAGCTGCTTATGCTCCATTCTTCGGATACATGGGCGCCGCTTCCGCTCAAATCTTCACCGTTTTGGGAGCTGCCTATGGAACCGCCAAATCTGCTGTCGGTATCTGCTCAATGGGTGTTATGCGTCCAGAACTCATCATGAAGTCCGTCATCCCAGTTATTATGGCTGGTATCATCGGTATCTACGGTCTCGTCGTCGCCATGGTCCTCAAGGGAAAGGTGCAAGCCTCGTCCGCTGGATATGACCTCAACAAGGGATTCGCTCATTTGGCCGCTGGACTAACCTGCGGTTTGTGCGGTCTTGGAGCTGGATACGCCATCGGTATCGTCGGAGATGCTGGAGTCCGTGGAACCGCTCAACAGCCACGTCTCTTCGTTGGAATGATCCTCATTCTTATCTTCTCCGAAGTTCTTGGACTCTACGGAATGATCGTCGCTTTGATCCTTGGAACCTCATAATTTGTCCGAATTGAACGATTACTATCACAATTATGTATACTTTATTTTTGCTTTTTTCTCTCTTTCTCACTTTCTTCATCTCTCTTTCTCGCCCACCCATCCCTGTTCGCTGTGATTTTAGGGAATGAGAACCCGAGTCCAGAAACCCAACCACATTCCATCAACAATTATTTTAGGACATTTTATTTGTTTAAAATATAAAATTTCTTAGAAATTCGCAACTTTCTCTGACTTAAAATCGCGTACTTTCATTTTCCACTTATCCTCGTCGTCGAGGAACTGGTGCTGTTCCATTCATTCATAAGTTCGCCGATTTTTTGAAATTTCTATCTTTTGATATATTTGTTTCGTTTCATTTCTCAATGACACTTTATTTTCTTTTCGTATATTGCTAATTTTTGCTATCGTTGATGTAATAAAATAAAAAATTTTTAGGACATGTCCGCTACGTCGGGCGAGTATTGGCTGATTTCGGTGCCAGGCGAGAAGGGCGCCAACGATGCATGGGACAAGCTGAATCGCGCCACACAAAACGTCTCCACTAATGCCAAGTTCCAGATTCCTGACTTGAAGGTATTGAAATATGCCCGAGAAAAAATCAAAATTGAAATGAAAGTTTTCAGGTTGGAACTCTCGACCAGCTCGTAGGATTGTCTGATGACTTGAGCAAGTTGGACACTTCTGCCGAAGCGTGAGTTTTTGTTCTTTTAAACTTTTTACTGAAATTCAGATGTTCTTAGCATTTGAATAATTTTGGATTTCAGTGTGATTCGCAAACTTGTTCAATACTTCACCGAAGTTCTCGAAGAAGATAAGAGCAAGATCAACGAGAATCTTCAAATCGGCAACAGTGAGTTGAACCTCTTGCGCAATAATCATACACTGCATTATTTAGAGGACATGAAGACGTACGTGACCAAGTTCCAATGGGAAGGGGCTAAGTATCCATTGAAACAATCGCTTAAGGTTCTTAGCGAGATCATTGGAAAGGTATTCGATTTCGATTTTCATTAACATCAATCTATGGTCATTTCTTTAGCAAATCACCCAAGTTGACAACGACTTGAAGGCGAAGTCTTTAGCTTACAACAACTTGAAGAATGCTTTGGCTTCGATGGACCGTAAGACCACAGGATCCCTTCTGACCAAAGATCTTGCCGATTTGGTGAAGGCTGAGGACTTTGTGCTCAACTCGGAATACCTGCAGACCATTATTGTGGTTGTGCCGAAGTAGGTTTACCACGTGGCAAGACACTGAATGTCTAACTATTCCATTTTTAGGATCCTCGTCAAGGAATGGGAAGCCAAGTACGCGACACTCTCCAACATGGTCGTGCCGGGATCGTCGAAGTTGCTTACCGAAGAAGGTGAACATGCTTTGTACTCAGTCACCTTGTTCAAGAAGGTTATCGATGAGTTCAAGAACACCGCCAGAGAGAACAAGTGAGAAATAGCATTTGTTGTTAATGATGTGTTAAATTTATTAATTCAGGTTCATCGTTCGTGACTTTGTCTACGATGAGGAGACTCTTAAAGCTGGACGCACTGAACGCGATAAGCTTTTGGCAGAGAAACAACGCCAATATGCTCCACTCATTAGATGGCTCAAGATCAACTTCGGAGAAATCTTCGCCGCCTACATTCACATTAAGGCATTGCGCGTTTTCGTCGAATCGGTTTTGAGGTATTAGCTAATTTGTCACAGTCTAGACACTTAGTTGACATTTTTTTTAAGATATGGCCTTCCCGTGAATTTCCAAGCTGCTGTTGTCGAGCCGGCAAAGGGAACGCAAAAGAAGTTGCGACAGGAATTGAACAAATTGTACATTCACCTTGATGGATCTGCAGCTGGACCAGTTGACGTAATTATTTAATTATCTTGAATGTTAAAAAAACCAAGAATTTTAGACTGTCGAGGATTCGCCAGCGTTGTTGTCGCTTGGTGTCAACGAATACTACCCTTATGTGTTCTTCAAGCTCAACCTCGACTTTACGCAAAAGTAGATAATTAACGCCTAATTTGAGTATTGTATATGTAGTTTACTTACAAAACAAAATCTTCTAATCCAGTTTTCTAGCCTGTGATAGAAAATAGCCCCGAAAATGAGAAAATATATTGATTGATAATTTGTTTTTTTTTTTTCAAAAAGTTCCATTAATTTCACTTACGTCCAATTCCTATTTAGGAAAGGAGTATTCATTATTTCTTTTCATAGAATTTGTGTTAGCTTTCCTTACGCTTTTCCTCATTATGAGATGGTACTGTTTTACGAATTTTAAACGACACATTCCATTTGTATACTGTCTTTGCCCCTCTCTTATCGATATTCTGTATCATTATCTTTTAAAACCGCGGCCAATAACATCGGCTTTTAAAATGCTACACGTAAGTAAAGACTTTTGTGTATTTATGATGTTCCTCTTTTTATAAACGAGAAGATTCATTCTGAATTTATTATGAGATCAAATCTGGATATATGTATTAAATATCCGACGAAGCCGGACGATTCTGCGTTGGTTTACTGGAGTTCGGAGAAATAGAAAAAAATTTACATTTTGGGCCGATTCCATTTCAAAAAGAAAAAAAAAGGAATTTTTGAATGATGATTCTGATATCGTCGAGGACGGACGAAAATGACAGTAGATATCAAAGGCGCATGCGAAACATTTTCTGATTTCGCGCTAAGATCAATAACAGCTAACGCGTTTGATCATTCAAATTTGTCAAATTCGTCCGTCTTCGTCACCCACTAAAGAGAGTTGACTGTTTAGCGAAGGTTCTGAACTACAGGACATTTAGAAAATGGCAAAATGAATTTATTTATTTATTCACAACCGGTTATAAAGAAAAATCATCACACAATAAGAAAAAGAGGTTAAACATAGCGCAATGAATATTTCAAACGTTGTTTTACGAAGGCATTCGTTTTGTGCTTCGTTGTCATGATTAGTGTTAGTATGAAGAAATATTTTTGAGTTGACCAGTTCTTATTTAGGTTTCAAATAAACATCCAACGTTTCGATCATTCTCACCATGAAAAATCAAGCTTTGATAATTATTTTTGGGAAGGTTTTACATGTGAGTTGAAACAGTAATGAGTAATTGAATATCTTACAAGGGAAGTCATTCCCGTCTGTTAGGATTTTTTGTAATTTTGCACACGTAAACTAGAAGGTTTTCTGAGTGTGTTCACAAAATTCCAGCCTGCACTGGGGGATTACAGGCGAGTTATGGCCATCTGAAAATTCAAGGTGTTTTTCTATGCGTACCACTTCACTTCACCTGGATGCCAAATCGGGGTCCTAAGAGGCGTATGCGTAACCACCTTGCCCAAATGGTTGCTGACAATGGAAAAACACCTTTAATTTTCGGATGGCCATAACTCGCCTGTAATCCCCCAGTGCAGGCTGGAATTTTGTGAACACACTCAGAAAACCTTCTAGTTTACGTGTGCAAAATTACAAAAAATCCTAACAGACGGGAGGTAAAATAACTTTCCTTGTTAGTGGTTGTAAGTTCAATAAAGCCGTTTTTAATGGAATTGGTCGACTACACTGTTTTTAAATAATGTTTTGTATTACATTTCAGTGATGCTCTGGTACAGTCAACCAAAGTGCCAATAGTCATAAAAAATATTTTAGAAGAAGGCTTTAAGTACTTAGCTCTTTGAGCTCTACCACCGTTGCTTCCAGCCCAACCTGTCTTCGGGCGGTTTTAATCATTGTTGGTTATAAAATAAGATTTGGGAAAACAAATTTTCATAACTAAGACTAACCCAAAGGGAGATTTAAAAGACGATAAATTCATTGTATAAAAGATTGCGAGCGATTAGGACATCGCGGATGAATTCGAGGCTCCGATGAGCCCGCACGAGAAGCGAACTATTCGCAATTCGGAGAGCTACAAAACTAATACTTTAATCAAATGAACCCCGAATATTCTGATGATATTCTCCAATTGCTTCAAGCTCATCAATAAGTCCGATGATAGGAAAGAATGGTTAGCAAGCTATTTAATCAAAATCATCTATTTAATATTGTGGAGAAATTCCAATGATTTTGATTACTGTATTATTCAGAATTAAAACAAATTTAATCATTTATTCAGTTAGATTCAAATTGTGGCCGCGTGATTAAACATTCGTATCTCAAGTTATTTAAACATACCAGTGGAACTTGCAGGAAATCATCGCACTAGGTAAAATCAAAGATCTTAAATCTTCGTGAAAAAAAGCGAATTGGATGCGCCAATTTTGCAATCTAATCCGCAGACGTTCGAATCGGATTGGGTCTTTTTCGAATCTGAATTTCGTCAAGTTCGATTGGTTGCCAAAGTTAGAGGTCTCAAGCGGTTTTTGGTATTGCGCGAAATTTCCACATATTAAATGGAAAATTGAACTATCACATTTGATGGTCCCTAATTACTTAAGGATCTCAACTTTTGGAACGGTAATATATATTTTTGAGAATTTAAAATTTTTATCCAAACGTTGAAAACAAAACCGAATGCGCGGCTAAATTGTATTAGTTTTTATGAGTTTTCGGTATTCCCAATATTTTCTCGACGAAAATTAGTTTTAAATTGTTAAAATCAGCATATCATAGGTATAAACTTGAATTGATAATAATTTGGGTGTCACACATTCTGTCAGTGTTCCCTTGCCTGTGGTAATCCTAATCCAAACGAGCGTGACGATTCGGCGATTACTTGGTGGGGGTGTTCATTAAATACCGTTTTTGATGGTGTTGTGTTGCACCCAAAGGGTGGAGGGTGGCAGTGCACCAAGGTCAATTGCGGACCACCGACGGCATAGATATTCATCTCATCAAGGCCGTCATGGGGGCACATTCTATAACGGTGCGCCTACCCTGGTTTACCTGCGTGTTTATGCATACCTGGTGATTGCTTTGAGAATTGACCCGAATTTCGCCGGAAATATTCGAAATTGATCTTGATTTCGCATCGATCTCATGCTGTGCGCGTCGTCAGCCAATTCGCACTGATTTTATTAATGGTTGAATTCGAAACGAGATTCACTCGATGCCCAAATTGTTCGAATTCTTTCACGTTTATTTTGCTTCAATCTTCGCTTTTTTTAAACTTTATTGTGAAAATTGTTTAATGGATCGATTAATCGAAATTTTAAAAATGAATCTTATTTGTTTAGTTTTTCAAGAATCTAATGGTACTGTGCAAATTTTACAAAAAAAATTATATTGTTCGAATTTTTTTTGCAAAATCTAAATATACTATAAATGTTCCCCGATTACCTTTTTTTAAGTTTTCGCCATTGAGAAATTTATTGTTTTCTTTTTTCGTCTTGCTCACATTTTCTCTTTCCATTCATCCCATATTCGCTTTTTAAATACTTCCTTTCGTGCCTTGGATTTCTCTTCACAATTGAACTTCGCATTGGATTAGGAACCGATGATTGGTTGGTCAATTGAGAACTTTCTCCAACAATTAAAACTCGAGATGCGATGCGGGTCTCGAAACGCATTCCCCAAAATTTTGGACAATTTCAGTCACACTTTAGTTATTCGAGAAGCAAGTTCGGAACAAAGAAAATCATTCGAATGCCATATTCTCAGCACAATTATTTTCCAATTTGCATTGTTTTCTAACACTCCCCAATTTTGTCTCTGATAATACCGCAATTTTCTGGAACTCGTTTGATTAACAACGAGGAGCTTGGAAAAGTGGTATTATAATAAATAGTGGCAGAACCGGTAAACTATGTGGACAAAAGCGATAATCGAAGGTAGCAATGCATGCGCTCATTCGTTCGTCCCTCGTATTCGTATACACATATCCGAATGTCCTGCGTTCCAATTTCGAATCGCCACTGTCGGCTGCAGTCGCCGTCCACCTATCTCGCTACACCATCCGGGCGTTCTTTCCACCTCAACCCTCCACTTTCTCTCATTCGCCATTCCACTACTGTACTAATGGCCATTTTGTTGTACACGAATTGTTCACGGTCCACAACATTTTGTTCTTTTTGAAATTTCGAATCAAGCTTCACAAGTTGCAGTCGATATCATTTAATTAAAGGCTCATTGGGTTTTGGATGTTTTCGGCATTCTCTTCGCATGTGATATCCCCCATTGACTAGGCAACCCGTCGTGTTGGAACCATCTCAAGTAGTTTTTCGCTGACTAGGTGGTCATAAATCTTGTCTGGTTTATATTGTTGCAGTCTCAAATTAACAAAAACCGGTCCATCGAGTCGAACAAATATCAATACGGCCAACTTTATTTATATCATTTATTTTTGGGGTCGCTCTCATGCCATATTATCACACTATTAAATATATCTGAGGGGTTCAATTTTTCATTTGAAATTTGCAATTCATTGTTCCGATAATATATTAAGATTGATATTTGAGAAATACGTACAATCAGTTTTTAAGATTCACTATATATGCTAACTAATTATTACGTGCTCATCCAAATTAAATCCTTTAATTTTAAAAATCCCTATTATTTTTCAACATTCATCATTTGAATTTGTTTTCAAAAAAATCCAAAAAAAAAGAAGCGGATCGACTTGTGTCAATTATTCCATATTTGGCGTTTCCACAAAATGTTCCTCAAATTGCCTCAAGATTTTCGGAAAACGGTGACCGTTTTGCGTATCTATTTCAAAGATGACCATCATTCGAATGTCTGCGCTTCTTCATTCTTCGCACTGTTTCGAATGCGATTAGCGCCAGATTCAGAAGCGCAAAACGGCAATGAATGTTGACCGATCACACTCGTTGAGTTGAGTCACCAGCAAATCGCTATTACCTTCTGTTTCATTTTTTTGAATTCTCATTTAAACGCTCAAAATTTGAATTTATAACTTCTCAAATGAATAGCTTTTATTTGAATGATGCTTAGCAAGAAATCAGGCACTTGAAAATTTAATTGATGGCAAAAATGAAAGGACACAGACAATAAAACTCAAATTCAGTAAAAAAATGAAACGTAAACTGTGAGAAAAAAAATCGCGAATATAAATAAAATTTTGACATGCCTCATTCCAACATTTCTGCATTTTATAAGTGAATTCCTAATATTTATAATTTGGGTATTAAATTGATCGAATGAATATCACATTTCATCAAAAAACTTATTTGTGTAATGTTCAGATAATTTTTATTCGAATAATTATACAATTTTCTCAAATCTTCTGATTTGCCATCCTCAAAACGGTTCTACTCGATACTCATTATTTATTGTGTTCTTCATATTTCGATTTCTCAAGAGATTTCTTATTTGGTATTTCTGAACTCTAATTTTGTTAGTTCAAGAATTTCACTTCAAAAAAGAAGCGTTTTAGAATCCATGAATTCGATGATAATCCCGGAAATTGTCCATCTGTCCAAAATTTTCCAAAAATGTTCCTAATGAGGAAAAGAAACAAATTTGACCTCGGTTGCGTTGATTTCGCCTCAAAAATCGTTCGATCGAAAATTGGAATTCCAGTTTTGTCGTGCTCCTCTCCACTTTATTCACTCTCGTCCTACTTGTGAATGCACCGCCCGCTGAATTCGCCCCGTTTTTTGTTGTTCCTCTTCTGTCTCATGCCGTATTCGGTTGTGTCGACTTTCCAGTCTGTTCCCTATTTGTTATTATACATTTCTGCGTCTGAATCATCCCCATCGTCGTCATGTTCAATGTGAGAAATCTTTGAAAAAAGCAAACATATCGAATATGGGATTTATCGATTGATTTCAGAGACGCCGTCAAATGTCATCATCGAATGAGCTCGCCCGAAAGGGATCGCTCACACTTTCCATCATCTTGTCGCTCATTGCCGGCGGATTATCGATCGGAGCCATTCTGACACCGTCGTGGCAGGTTCGAATTCAAAATTTCGATTTCGACTTGCAGTTTTTTCTATGAAAACAATTATACAAATTAAAGCTAAAAAAAACTTACACTAAAAAATAATCGAAATGCCAAAAAAAACAATGGCAGTGGTCTTGACGCAAATCTAAGTGTAGATTAACGGACCTAACAAGCATATTAATAGGTTAAAGGCGCATCAAGACCTGTCCCCTAAATTTTTTTTTGTCATTCAGCCAATTTTTTGAAGCCGCGCGACGTTTATAATTCACTCTTCCGGGTGGAATACATCGTCCCAAGTCAACCACGGCCCTCTGTAAGTCGGCCACGGCCACTTCGGTTGTGCCAAGTGCAAGGGACCAACTCCCAACATATTTATTGTTATCTCGAAGCGAATAGAATCCGAGTATTTTAAAAACTAATTATCAGAGTGTTCTTCAGCAATTTTTAAAATTTTAGACAACAATTTTTATTTACTAAAAATCTACAACAGTTGAACATTTGGTAGTTTATTTGATAGTTAGACAATAATTTAATGATTAATGAAATTTTGTGTCGTTTTTCAGCAATTAATCGTAAAATTTGAATTTCACGTATTGAAAAAAAAATAGGAAAATTGTCAACACATTTATTTATAAAAAAATGGTCACATCGAAACCTAATAATTCTGTAGCCCCATACCAAATTGAAAATATTCAAATTTGAAAAATTATTTTAATAATGCCTCAATAACATTTTCAGAAGATTTTTTTTCATTTCGGTCTCATCATCATTTGAAAATTTATTGAAAAAATATTTTAGCGATATCTTCAACTTTTGAAAATTTCTAAATAATTCATATTTTCAGGTAGTAAACCTTCGAGAGTATAATTCGATTCATGAGCACGGGCTTTGGCTTGATTGTACGAGACACAGCAGAGACGGAAATCATATTTTACAAAGGTATACCATTGCATTTTCATTCCTCATGTTTCAATGCCCCTTATAAGGTATGCCACTGTAACTGAGCCATTGCATTGTGTCTACAAGTTTGACTATGACAAGTATTCTGGAACATTCGACATTGAGGATGACAATAGTCCAGTTGGAGAAGTCAACCGCCACAAATTCTACGGTTTGTCATGTTTTTTTTACTATCTAAATTCAACCAGTTTACGCGGCGATGAGTCATCTTCATCCTCGCGCACTCTAATTATTATTATTATTCTGTTGAGGGTTTTGCATACAAATATTATTCATACGACAAGTTGTGAGTCATATAATAAATCACTCAAATGTTGCTTAATTGGGCCCAATTGTTTTATATGCCAAATCAAGGTTAGCGCCCGAATTTCGTAACCTTGACTCGAATTCGATTTATGCCTTTATTGACAAATGAAATTAATCGTTCAATTAATGGATGATCCAACATTTTTATTAAATTCAATTTTTAAAATTCGTAATATTTAAACGCTTTGAATTCCCGAAAGAAACCATTGAATGGTGTAGAAAATCGAGAATTTCACTTTCATTGTTTACTTGTTGTTTACACAAAAACAAACAAAAAGAAATGCCGATTTTACCTTTAGATAAAACTTTTTGCGCTTTGTATTTAGACTTTTTTAATAAAAAAAAATAATGGTTTCAATTTAAGATACTCCCCAAACTTGAATTTCAGCCAAAAGAATTGTGTTTGCGGACAAGATTTTTCCAATTTTCTAGTAAACATTTTTTTTAGCGTTTGAAATGATATATTTGAGATTTAAAAAAATCAAAAAAATGGTAGCGCGCAAAAATCAAAAATGTTTTTTAAAGCAAATTTAAGTGGAGGGATTTCTTAAAGAATTTTGAAATTTCCAGGTTGGCACACAGCAACAATGATTCTTCTTGGATTCGCATTGCTCACTACCTTCCTTTCGACTTGCATCGGAATGTGCTCATGCTGCTACTCTTCACTTTCGTTGATTTTCACTGGAATCACTCTTTTAACCAGTACGACATTTCTTTCGAAAACACATTGAGTTCCTCCAATATTTATTCTCAAATTTTCAGCTTTTTTGTCTGCCGTCGCCGAAGGGATTTTCTTTTTCTACTCGCATAGAGCCGATAATCGTTTCATCAAGGGAATCGTTGGAACTTATGAGCAACGAGTCGGCACCGCATTCTTCCTCGAAATGGCCGCCGCCTTCTGCCACTTCCTCTCATTCCTCGTTGCCATGCTTTTCACCTACTTCTCGTTTGCTTCATCAAAAGATTCCGACGGATTCAGTATTCAAAGATCGAGCAGAACGAATGTGACCAACATTGGAAGGTATTCAGATGTCGCTGAAAATCAGTCATTTCATCAATTCAGATCAATGGAGTTTGATGCTCCTTTAATGTACCCACCGCAAACTCCAATCTCCAACTTCAGAGCTCCAAGCTATTTGGAAGAAAAGCAAGTCGCTGAGAGCATGCCGGAGCTTGGCAACAGGTAATCAATCGATATTTTGAGATTGTGTTCAATTCTCTTCAGTTTCAGAGGTGCATTCCCTTCGAATGACTTCCTGTCTTCCAGAATTCGCCGAAAGAGTGAGACCTGTGTGTAGAAAACCGAATTCATTTTGTGCCTTTGCTGATCCTCCCAACCTAAATTCCATGATCATCTTTTCTTAATCGATAACACTCATTTCCTAGGTGATTATTGTTACTTTGTGATTTATCCACCTAATTTATCCATTTTATTTCTTCCGCTCTCACCCTAATGTACTTCGTTTCATCAGGAAATCGTGCCTATTTATTAATCGACTTTTTCTTTTTTTATTTCAATTGTATTTTTGCCCATTTAGCTATGCCTTCTTTTACTAATTCTTGCCAAGATTTGTATGTATTTCATTGCATTTTGTTCTCCATTATTTCTTTCTTTCGACTTCTGCTCACATCCGTTTCGTGTTTAACTTGCTTGTTTGCAAGAAAACGTTCTAAATAATATTGTGAAAATGAAATAAAATAAAAAGAGTTGATCCATCAAGAGACAAAAATGAAATAAATTTTCATTTTTATTCCATTACATTTCTTCATTTTTTCTACTGAAATACTCCTTTAACAATCAGTGTTTCAGATCAAACCTTTAAAAATGGTATGAAGAAGGTAATCACGAAATTGGCCGAGTCATTCTGCTGCTTCCTCAGCTTACAAGTGGTTGCTTGGCAATGTGTTTCAATTCTGCAGTTCGAGACCGCAATCTGAAGTGAATTCCAGGATCGCTGCCTGCGCAAACCGCCGTTTTTAGTGATAATTGAAAAAGATCCGTTTTTGGGATCATTTTTAAGTAAAATGTTGGTACGGCTCGCCTCAACTCGCGCGATGCTTAGAAAAATCGATCGAGACTTTCAAAAAATTAAAAATGCAAGTGCGGCACACTATCACAGAGAAATTTTTAAATTATGTGACATTCTCAGTCGCGATTTTCTTTTATTCTCTTTACGAAGTTGTGATTTTAGTTTGGTTTTTTTTCGGAAATTTGGTTTTGAAATGGTAAATACACAAAATATGTACGTACGTATTCATTTCGTTCAACTCAATAAAACTAATTAATCCATTAAGCGTGGCCGTGGCCGAATCTTAATTTTGAGGCCAATTCTTCTAGGCCGCACGTGAGCCGTGTTGAGTTGGGTTTTTGCATTGAATGCTCAGTGACAACGTCGCTCTTAATATTGGCACGAAGAGCACGAATTTAGCAAGATTTTCAACACGCATTTTTGTGTGCTCGACAATATCACGGAATTGTGAACATCTGCGGATATTCTCTGCGATTCGCCACAATCGCCTGTTTGCTGTTATAAGCGGTGGCGGCAATTCAAACGCCGGCCCTACGAGAGCTGGGGAGCAAAACCAATTTCATTTTCCGTGCACAACAGCGCAAAATGAAGATATTTATGTACAAAATATTTTTGTAAAATGATTTCCCGCATAAGATTTTGTAAAACTGTTTTCATAATCGAACAAATTTAGGCAACATTCGACCTTCTTCGCAGCTTTTTCACGAGCCTTCTCTTTCTGAACATCGATGGAGGCGGCATCTGAATTCATAAACTGAATCGATTGGTTGCCATTTCTTGATTAACCTGAAACGAATGAAGCGAAATTTCATGAGCTTCCAACAACTGGATTTGTTTGTCGATTTGCTGCAAACAACGAATTGCGTTTCAGTTCGATTTGGTTCGTTTTACCTCAACACAAGAAGTGCCCCTTTTGTATCCGCGCCAAACTTCTTTTAATTTCTCCTAAAAACTTGAAAGATTATCTTCAGGAACCAATTATGTTATAAATGTTAATAGGTCTTGAAACGAACCTGTAAATCGGTTTCCAAACGACCGAAGAAGTGAGGAAGGGCGCAATCGAATGCTGGTGGATGGAGACGCTTGTTCAATCCGACGGACATGTTCAAAAGGAGGAGTCTGATAAGAAAAATGAAAATGCTTGATGCAGTCGAGATTGTCATTGCAAAATAATGCGAGAGCCTTGGGCGTATACGGACCATCGAATGATTTCTCGCGGTGATTTCAATTTCGATTTTAACAGAGGGAATGGGAATTCGGGTATCGTACTCATGGGCAGTGTGTGCTGTATGAGACGCCGGATTTTCGCCATCAGTTTTACTCTCGGGAAATGTAGAAAATTCGCGAAAGCTTCGAGAATACGTGCCAAAATATTTTCGGGAATTTTGTGAAAATGAAAATTTCCGAAATTTTCGAGACCACCGGAAAACATAAAGCGAGAATTCTCGGGATATAAGGCATAGTGTGATTCAATGAAGACGATACCTTGTCTTCTTCTGTTGCTCCCAACAGTTGCTCATTCCAATTTTTTCCTTCCAAATATCTTTGAATTTCCGTTGATACTTCGATGGCAACGCGTCGACAACCGAAGGAGGTTTGCACGATTTGGTCTCCTTCAAAATAGATGTTCGTTCAGCCGGTGTGAGCCGAAGGAGTATGTTTCGAGTTCGAGCCATTTCGATCCAACAATCTCCACCCTTTCCGTCGGAGTCCTTCCAAATCAGCTCCACTCTAAACCCGCCTCGATTTTGCCCAGAAATAGTTTATTTTCATGGAATTACTTGGCTCGAATTCTTGGCGGAAGACGAGTAGTTATTGCCGGCATTTCACAGGGAACATGCTCATCGTCGACAAAATCTGAGAATCGATTCTGGAATTTTTCGACATCATCGGATTTCTTCTGAAAAAAAACACCGAACAAAAATGTGATATCGCTGATTTTTATCGACCAAAAACTTGAAATTTTCGGTGAATTCATGTTTTGATATGGTCATGAAAATCAGCAATGTGATTCCTTCTCCAGAAGGAAGTGAACGAATAAAATTGAAGGAGAAAAAAAAGAATTGATAACGAAAACGACGTGCTGGAATTTACGATCAAATCAAAGTCGACACTTATCCCGAAGATTCTTTAACTTAATGATCATTGCATTAATTGCCTTTACTAATTATGTGAAATGGTTCGTCTACAATTTTTCAAAATGTCTTCAAATTTTCAAAAATGGCGTGCTCAAATTCAAGAAGAATCTGCAATATTTTAATAATTTTTAAGAGGATATTTAACTTTAAAAAATTTAGAATCTTGCAAAAAAATGAAACACTCATTTGACAATTGCGATAATTAAAAATCAATAATTAAGACACAATCTTATGATTTTATTCTTTAAATCGAGAATAACAGACAATCGTGAGAAGTTTATCTAAACTTTAGATTTCGAATAACTTTTTTAGTGTTTGCAAAAAAGAAACGCAGCCATGCAAGATATTAAACGAAAATAAAAACGAACGAACCTTGGAAAGTCCGCGAAAATCGTATGCTTGAAAAGCGATGGCAAACAGTAGAAGCAGTTTGAATAAGAAGCGGCACTTCATACTGTAAAAAGACCGATTTGCAAACAATGGAATGGCAGTTTGGAGAAGACGCACACTTCCAGTAAACCTTCTCCTTCTTCAACTAAATGCTAATGACCCCCATCAGAACCGCCCCCCTGCAGTTCAGTTCGCTGATCAGACACCGTTCGACAACACAATTTTTGAATTGTTTCGTTGGGTCCGCAAATGATTAATAACTCAAAATGTTTGGAATGTGAAAAGTGAGAGAAAACGCAAATTTTGGAAGGAATCCTCGCTGAGAGTAATAATGAACATACTGGATGAAATCGAATTGTTTTTGCAGGTTTGAAGTGGTGATGATTGACGGGTTTATGCCCTTATTTGGTTTTCGTTTGATGCCCGCCAATTTATTGGAGATTTTGAGGTTGTTTACAACCAAATTGGAGGTTCTCTATGCAATTATGTATGGGAGAGAATAAGATGGGCGCAATTCGCATTTGGATGATGTTAGCAGGAAATGGAACATTGGCTGAAGAGTTGAAAGAATCGAGTTCATCAAAAACGGACTAATGCAGCATGTGACACATTTTGTCGTGTTCAAGCAATAAATAATGGTTATTAGTCTTAAAAACCAGGCCTTTTAAGGAGGGAAAACAAAAAAAAACTAAAGACCGGCGTTTTTGCAGAAATCTTTGATTGTGGCATTGAAGCTTAAATGGAATGAGAGAAAAATGAGGAAGGAGTGTGAAATGGTTCGAATCGAATTTGAATCTCGACACTTTCTGGACAGCCAAACGAATCTAGGCGTTCGAAGGTGGAACCCGTGATAAGATTAATCAATTTGGGCGAAAGTTGACACGAAAGTTAGTATTCTTCTGTCTCGAGCGAGATTTTCGGGTTTCAGAAACAATTTTGCAGAGTTCAAAGGATTAATTTAAGTGTTCGAAAATTTAGGCAATTTGGTCGACAGCGTAGTGTGAAGAAGAACAAAAAAACGACTACCGTCATCTCGCGAGATTCCATAATTGATGACGCATGAATTCGCTGGGGCCGAGAAATTTCGAAACAACTGAGATGTCTCACATTCCATTCTACCGTAATCGAAAAATTCGCAAAACGTAAAATGGTGAATAATTGTGCTAATTATATGCAATTATCGAGTTCGTGGGAATATTTTTTTCGCAAAAACATTCTTTTGGATTCCAAACAAACGAAAAGTCTGTTATTTAATTAGTTGTGCAGAATATTTTAGCTTCCATTATAATTATAGAGTTTGAAAAAAAAGGGGAGGGGTATGGTAGTTGGATGCAGAATATCAGGAATCACATGTTAAATCAAAATGGTGACCTATTACTAATCGTTGAAATTAGGTTTTATAAGATCAATCAGCCCAAGACCAGACTTGCTGGGAAACTTATGCGAAAATCGATATCGGACGAAGAGTATTAAGAAAGTTTCGACGAACATCTCTCTTAGAAGTGGAGAAATGGAAGAAAAAATGAATTGAAGGGTTCAGAAAATATCTACAATTTCTAAACTATTGAAGGATCCAGTCAGCGAAATTCAAATATTAAAAAAATATATAGAGGTGCTCTTCGAAAATGTAATTTGATGTGATGGTCTTAATTATTTTTCATCAAGTTCTATTTTAAACCTCTTAGTGTTTCACACGAATAGAGATTGACGATTTTAAAATGAAATTTAAGCGATCGAAAACCTGAAACGGAATATGGCAACTTCGAAAAACTAATACCAAAAAATGTTTTGGTGGGTGTGAATGGTGTCGGACAAACTCGGCGATAAGATCTACGATTGAGATCTCGAAAAATTAAAGTACAACAGCACAAAATGGGACAAGGAACCACTCGCAATGAAGGCGTTATTCGAACAGTCCCCTCCTTCAAAATTAACGTCAACCATTTTCCAATTAACGCCCGACGGCGAAATAATTACCAAAGTTGGTTGGCGAACCTAGTATGTTATTAGCGGGCACTTTATACAATATATTCTTGATCAAATTGAAATTATTTTGAAAGCGAATTTAGTTGACGAATTTTTACCATTTATATTCGCAAAAAAAAATGAAGAAACATTTGGGAAATTGTTTTCAAAATTATATGTACTTTTAAGAAGATATTAACAGTTTTTTTTTTTTCAAAATTCCTAGGATTCTGCAATATTTAAAACAAATGTTGCTTTTTTTGTTTCGACATACAGAAGAAACAAAAATAGTATTGGTTCTTATAATTCCCTTAAAGAAATGGAGGATGCATTTATAATTGCGCCAATTGCACCAATACTTGATGGTGAAATTAATTGATTGTCGGACTCGCTTTTTGAGTAGATTTACGTACATGAGCTTTTCACAAATCGAATACGATTTTCTAAAGTTTATCAAACAAAAAAATTTTCTCGGAACTTCTCGATTCTAGATTGTTCGCATTCAGATTGATAACATATAATTATGTTGGATTCCGGTTTTCCAAAAATTCAACGAAAACTCAAATGAACACCACTGAGAAAAATGACGAAGAAAATTCAGATGAATTTGACAATGATTATTATTATTATTATGATTATATTGATCCATTTTCGAAAATTTCCGCGAATTCAGAATTCTTTCGAAACAATGTTGAACCATTACATCCAATTATATTCATCTCAATTTATGCCTTATATATTATAGTGTATATACTATCAAGTAAAAATAGTAAAGTATGTAAATTTGGCTTGTATTTCGATAATTATATTTGATACTCAGAGATTGGTCTATGGATTGTATTTTAATATTTATTGGCCAATTCTTTTTTCGTTTCTTCTCCATTTATGCATTTTCATATTCAATCGAGTTTCGGAAGCAACTGGCAATAAAGGCACATCATTTCTTGCAGCGTTCGATTTAAAAAAAAATGACAAAAAAAGCGGTATTTGTATTTCAGGGGACTTGAAAATTTTCCAGTAGTGTTAGATCTTCTTGTGGATTCAGTATACGTTCCAATATTATTTTTGACCATTTCAATTCAACAATTTCTACTTCAAAACTCGAAAACCAATGTGACGAAACTAAGGTTATTCGCCAATTGTTGATTGCAATTTTTTCTTGAAAATTTCCAGAAAATATATTACAATTGTATTGATTTTCAACTTTTTCCACCTCATATTTCATTTGATCGTCGCTGTAATTCAATGCCCACACGATTCAATATTCACACAAAAATTGCGAATATGTTCGATTGAAAGGGTTGCTACTTTCATCGTCGATAATTTCAGCATAAAAACCGAATTATTTAGGTTTTAAAAAATCAATATATCTGCTCATTTTCAATTGGTGAAATCGGATTCTATTTTAAATGTGATTTAAAGGTTTGTCTCAGAAAATAACGAGAATAGAATTTTAGAAAATGGAATTTAAGATAAGTGCTGTTGTCAATATAATGTTCCCTTTAACATCTTTTGTACTGAATATTTTAACCTTGAAAAAATCAAAAAAAGACTATGATCCGAGAAGGAAAAATGATACAATCGCGGTGGTTATGCAGACAACACCAATGGTTTTTATATTCATGGTAAGATGATGACGCCATGTTGATTTTGCAAAAATCCCGATAGGAAAGCATTCTTGAACACTCTTTGCAAATTCCGCAAGAAAAGCTAAATTTATCCGGCATTTTTAGCTTTTCCCAAACTCTACATACAAAGCACACCATAAAAAAAAAATAAGAAAGACCATTTAATTGCAGCTCCGTCTTCCCCTATCAATATTTTTCAAAGGAATACTTATTTATGACATTCAACTTCCTTATATAGTTTATACCGTTATAATGGAGATCATCTGTACCAATCATCATTTTTTGATAGTTTTTTGCGTTTCTTATATTATTGGAAATTTTGATTTTTTAAATCCACTTATTTACTATTTTATGAAACGTGATCGAGCCCGTATTTCGACTACAAACAATCGTTGAATTTTACTTTTTTTTTCTTATTCATTTTATCTTAACAAAATATATCCAATAAATTCTCAACGATCAGTCGGAATTATAGTAATTTTTGAATGGCATTCTCGATAATTATATGGAAATAGTAGATATATAATTAAGGTAGCAAGATGTCATTTTTCACCGTCCCTCCTTGTTAGACGCATTTCTCTATTGCTATGGACGAGAGCCTCGATTTCGACTTTGAGTCTGACAATGATGATTATGAGTATGTTCCAAACGAATTCGACATATTGCAAAAGGTGTCTGCCCACGAGAAATTGTTCCACAACACAATCATCAATCCGGATATTTATATTGTGATAATGAGTCTAACATTTCTCATATTTCTGGTATCCAAAAGAAAGAATTCAAGAGTAAGTTGGCGAACAATGCACGAAACGAAATTGAATTGAAATTTCAGAGAATGGTTTTCGGACTTTATTTTTTAATTATTTGGCCATTCTTTATTGTGGCAATTATTCATTTGATCTTGAGAATATGCGAAATCTTGCTTCTGAAGACTCGCGATCAATTTTATTTAATTATTGTCATGTTCGATTCGCAATGGAAACTGAATTTTTCGTAAATGCTTTCAGGACTGGATCAAATGCTCCTTATATATTCGATTTGATCCTTGATTCGGTGTACATTCCAATCCTATTTCTAACAATCTCAGTTCAGCAGTTCTTGCTAAACAACGAATATCCCAATATTACAGTGATCAAGTCAGTGTTTTTGGAACTCCGAATATTGAGAATATCTTTTCAGAAGATGTGTCAAAATAATTATTCTTTCCAATTTTTTACTTCTTCTCATTCATATCTCGATGCTTAGATCACAATGTCCATCTGATTCTCTCATTTTTCAATCTGTTGCAATATGTTCAATTGAGAGAGTTTGCAAAATATCTTTTATTTTCTGACGAATTGATTGAGCTGTTTCAGGTATTCAAAGGGAATTATGATTGTTCAACAGAAAAACAACCAATGGGAATCTACTTTGATCTGGAATTAAAGGTTCAACTTAGAAAAAATTCAGCGAATTTCGAGCCAGTTTGCCAGGGGGTTTTGGGAGAGCTGCGGGCACCTGTTTGCCCTTCCCGACCCAAAGGGACAGGTTTTGGTGGACTCGCCATCAAGGAAGTTGGCTGGTCCCTTGCCCCACAGACAAACAGTTCCAAAATTTGCTGAATTCTAAAAAATGATCATTATTCGAATTCAGACAAGTACAATGGTTCATCTTGTATTCCCACTTATTTCTTTCGTTCTCAATATAAGAACATTTCGAAAATCGATAAAAAATGAGCTTTCAAAAGAGCAGAAATGCGACTCACTTGCTGTTATTTTACAAACGACTCCAATCATTTTCGTGTTAATGGTAAACGGAAATTATTGCACGAAACCGATGTGACATTTCAGCTTCGACTCCCAATCTCAATTTTCTATAAAATCATTCTAGATAATGATATCCATTTGCCATTTATTGTATATTCTTATATGATGGAATTCATTTGCACGAATCACTTATTGATGGCTATATTTGGGATTTCCTTCCTCTTGGGAAACTTCGATGTTCTCAATCCGTTGATTTATGTTTATATCAAACGAGGACGAGTTCGAAATAGTGCATCAAGTGATCAGTACGTTGAAAATTAATATCATACAAGTTTTGAAAAAATAAATTTTGCAATCTTATTTCCATTTTTGTTTCTGTTGATTGGTGGAAACTGAGCCAAATGGCGTAGCTCAAGAGCACACGTAGACCTGATACCTGAAATTTACATATAGAGATCCGTGAGTCGGCGCTGAACTACTGAAGATAATATGGATCGGAATTAATCAGACCAATAATTGAAAATTTGGATTGGCTTTTTAAATGGTTTATACGGGTATTTTTAATTGCTGATAATCTATAATCTTAGTAACGATTTGAAGCATCGTACTCATAAATTGCAATTGCAGAGACCAATACGTTTAGGAATTAATTTTAAAGTTAACTACCCAAAAGTATTTTCGATAATAATTTTTCATTTGCGAATACCTGTGATTATCTTTTACAAACATCTGATTGTACTGAGAAAAAATTCCTCTTGCAATTTGGAAATGCTAATATTTTCTGAAGACACCAATAATGAATATCTGATGACTCTCAATATTTCGTAAATCATCGGCACCTTTCATTCAATCAATCCTTGAATTGGTTTTTGAGAAAATTTCGAGTTCGAAATTCGCGGACATCGCATCAGAATATTGGTGCATAAATACAATGTTCTCTTTTGTTGAATTGGTTTGCCTCTATGATTATTTGTTAAAATTTATTGTTATATACACATTAATAAAACATAAATATCACAGAAAATATGTCAAACAAACAAAATTGGTGTGTTTCAGAGGGTGTAAGAGATGGGTGGAGAGGGAGAAAGATTTTTGAACCACTTGTTTTTTCATAGTGCTTGTTAGCACATTTTGCAATGATAATTCAGAAATATGAGACATACAGCGAATCCGCCAACAGACAATGGAATAATGACTAGAAGGATAATGAGAGAGCTGCTTTGTTGGCGGACAATCACATCATGCGATCGATGCTCGGGAACATTCGGATAAGGCTGATCCTGCTTCGTGAACTGCACCAGATCCTGAGGATCCTGGCGTGTGTCGATCGATGAGCGAAGGAAGGCGAATGTGTTGCAGAAGTCATCAGTACAACGGCATACCTGAAATAATTGTATACAACTGAAGCAACGACAAGGGTTCATTTCGCACCTCTTGCCATTGCTCAACCCGTTCCTGGCAGGCGACGTGTCGATTCAAGAAAGGAAGATCGTCGGCGGTTCCGCAGTGTTGTCGAAGGCGTGGAACGTCTCCTGAAATTCCAAAAAATGCTCCGCTGAATTATGCATTCAAATATGTAATGCTCTTCTCAATGCGAGTCGCATTCAATTGTTGGACCCCCTAAAACTAGCGGACAACATAATCGAGAAGCTTTTGCGCGAGAAGCCGTTGTCCCGCGGGAATACCAAACAAGACACGTCGCAGTCCGCTTTCTGATGTTGTTGTTTGCTTGTTTGTTTGTTTGTTATTTCTCCTCATGTATTTCAGGGGGGGGGTCCAATCAAATGGAATTGGACAATAAAATTGTGTTCTTATTTTCATTAGTGCTCTTGTACCTTTCGTTTGATTGGATGGGCATGAAAGAAAAGCAAAAAAAAAACGAAACGAAACGAAACGAAACGATGGTCAAAAGAATTGCACTCGCTTCTTTCGCATTTTTATTCATTCATTCGCCCCCTATTCGAATAATGTCTTCTATTGTTGTACATCAAATATTGTTGCTTGGAGACGCGCAATTCACACAAACACAAAAAACGTGTAATTCGAGTTTGAAAATGGAAAAAAATGTGAAATAATAGAGAAATTCATCGAATATTAAAAGCATATAAAAAATAATATGTTTGTTTTTTTAATTCTCAATATTAAAAAAAAAATTATCAAAATCGGTTATCAAGATCTTGGAAGCATTATCAAAAAAAAATAATGAGGCTCATGAAGATTAAAAGATCGAAATAAAATGTCTCACATCATAATTCAGTTGAATATTCAAATGCTCTTCTTATTTCCTTATATAGGCTAATCTAATATGCATTTTTCGAAAGACCAAATATTAAACGATTTCGAATTCAAACTAACCATCGTCGTTTCGATACAAGCCGATAAAACAGAATTCGCCGTGGCAGAGTAGATTATCATCGCATGAGTCCCGATCGCAGAAGCACTTGACTTGTCGGTCGGCTGTAAATCAAACAATTCAATTTCCCGCCAAAAACGATTCTTTCCTCTCATCTCCCTTTAAACAATTTTTGATCTACTCTTGCCTCATCGTTTTGCTACTTTTTTTGTCTTCTCGGTGAGTGGTGAACAAAAAAAAAAGAGTTGTACACGCGCAGAAGACAACAAATTTGATAAAGAGTATGGATATTGCGAGGGGAGAACGAAGCGGCGGCGATCCCTCGGGTACATTATATCTTAAAAACATGAGCAAAACTCACACACACGCGCATATACGGGCACGGACACGGGCAGAAGATTCGACGGAATCAGAGAGGACGCTCGTTTTTGTTTCAAACCCATAAAAGAACCATTCAAGTGTTCAAATTTATGAGTGTCTCCGATTCAAGAATGCCGACCGGTTGGAATCATCGAAACAATTTTGTGACAGCTTCATTGTGCTCGATTTCTCAAAAAAATCCCTAGAATTGGTCGTCGCAGGTTTTTGAGAGAAATCCAACTAATATACGTGCATTTGTACATATTTTTCAAGTGAATGAAGATCGGTTTGCATAATTCAACATAATTATGATGAATTCTAATATTCATTCATCACCATCCGAAAAAAAATGTTGTTATTTTGAGACAATACCGAATTTGAAATGAATAATTCGTAGCGCCCTCCCGCCTGACGGACGGCTTCATTTATATTTGTTCGGCTCACAGTAGAAGCTACTAAAATTGCATTATATGCCCCGAGACCACATTATTTACGATGTTTTTTATGGGGACCACTGGCCGGGAAGCAGGCCGCCACGAAGCCTTCTTGCTCATTCATTCATTTGGCCCAATACGTTAATGTGCTTGTTTGTCGGCGGCGCTATTGTTCAACAAAAATGTTTAATGGTTCCTCTTTCATTCATTTTTCTTCTTCTTCTTTGCCATCTTTCCGCTTGATGATGATGTGGCACCAACTCCCCCCCCCCCCAAAAAATGGTGTGTGCTTCGGCTCGAATTAATTTTGGACACGAGCCCTCTCTGCCGACATTGGACCCACCAATTGTTCGAAGAAAAATAAGCGCCAAGGAGTCCACAAAAAAAAGGCGAGCGTTTTATGTACGCATGACTTTTCTCGATGCGCCACCATCACCACCAACACCAACACCATCGCCATCGCCATGAAGGACTAATGGAAAATTTCGCGCTGATGGATTTGATGAATATTTGAGATGGTCGTCGAAATTTGTAATGAATTTTAGAATGGCCAAACCATAATCGACAATGGATTCGCAGCGTCTTAACAGAAGCTCTTCCCAAAGATGGGCATATCTTCTCTTTACTTGAAGAATTGACACCTTTAATCAAATGATATGAACAATTCTAGCAATCGGAGACGTGTTTTCTATTTTGAGAAATGATCAATCATGAAAAATTGTATTGGCATGAGCACTCATAACAATTATACAAATTTCGCAGTCGAAATTGTATTCTGATTCATTTTTTCATACATTCTCACTAGTTACTTTCTCTTAAACCACAAACACATGTTCGAACGTCTTTTTTTCTCTCCAACAGCCAGCCATCATCCATGAGATATGTTTGAGTCAAAGTTCATGTGGAAAAAATAACTTGCTGTGAGCCTTCAAAACCGCAACAGCTGATTCCGGCAGTTGTTGTTTCGCATTACCAGCGATGTACAAGTTTCAAATTCGAAAAAAAAAACGCGAGATTGATTGGGTTGAGATCAAAGGCGAAAAGTCGAAACCGCATTCAAATCCATCGTGGGAACATTCCCGGATTGCGTGCACAGCTTTGTGCGTATTCTTTTTTGTTGCTCACAACGAAAATTGCTTCCTGCGGGGTGTGCGAAATTCGCGAGAAAATTGTCACAATATTTGTGGACCTTGAAATACTATACAACACATCCGGTAGTTGGGCCGATTCGTCTTCGTTTTTTTTTGTCTTCGAAAATCGTTTGCGCTTTCAAACTTTCGAAGAAAAGAGCGAGTAGTTTTGTAAGTTTAACAAATGAGCCACACGGGAGAAGCACAACTAGGGGCCACGAAAAAAAATGGGAAAAGGTGTGGTCGAAATGGCTCAAATCATTTCCAAGCTAAAATATTTATGAACCACTCGAAATTCCGCTAAAAATTGCCTGAAGAACACGAAAATTAATTGAAGACAACTGTTCGACGAGCGAAGTCGAGTCGACGGCGAGCAACGCCCGATTTATTTCAATATTGTTTATAAAACTGAATGGGTTAGGGACCACTTTTCACATATGCGAATCAATTCATTCAAAATGCGGCTGGCGTGCATACTAACTAACTACACAAATATTCGTCTATTACTATTATTATTATTATTTATCACAATAACGGATCTCGCTGAGAAGGGCAGAGAAATAGCTCGTTTGACTTGATTAGCTCAATTGTGAGCCTAACTAGCAAAAAGCCGAGATGTGAGGCCGCAATTGAGGAAATTTCATATCTACGAATTGCGTTGATCCCATTTTTTCCCAGCTCTTTTTGATGAAAGCTTTTTTTTTCCATGATGAAATTTCCGGTGTTTTCAACGAATCAAGACGTTCACATTGAAAAATATACATGCCAATCCATTCATTCCACAATTTCTTTGCTTCTTGGAAATGACAGACCTCAGCAATATATGGGGTGTATAAATCATCACATATATACGAAAATCGGCAGCTCGAAATTGGGAGCATGATTTATATGAGATTGCGATTGCTTTTGTTCATTTTTTTTTTGTTATTTATTGAATTGAATATTGGTTTCATTATGTGTTGAATAAATAATCAAGAAAAAACCGAGATGATTATTTTCTCAAGAAAATTTAGCTCAAAAATAAAAATGGGGAGTATTTTTTTTCGGAAAAGACGATGTTCTAGAATCGAAAACACTTGAAGCCTAAAGCTGTTTTCATAAAACAAATAGCACTAAGTATGTCAAAATTATAGAAAAAAAATATTTTTTTAATTTTTTTCCTAGATTCCCAGTTTCTAATACTGTGTGTTTCCGACATCTCCCCACTCATTTTTTTGCTTAAACTTTTGGTCTCGCTACCGTAGGTTTTTAGCGCGCTGATGCATTCGCGAGGCCATCAAAAAACCAACAAAAATCTATAATTAATGCACGCGCACGATGCTGCTCATAGACGACCCCATTCATGAATTGAGGAATTTGAAATTTAAAAAAAAACAGAAAAGACGCACCTTGAACTATTATAAATCGGCAGGTGAATAGGATTGCGATAGCCGCAAGAATCGTCGACGTACCAGTGTTCATCGATCCGCATTTCATCGACACATACCGACCGGTCTGCAAAATTCTTGAGCTTGGTTTCGCGTCGCTGCTGCCGAGTCGCGTGTTGTCACAATCGGACCCGAAACGGGGGGCGGAGTCGCCGAAGCCGATGGGGGGCGGGGCTTTTTTTGGTGGAAGGCGAGCACAAAAACGCGACGAAGAGCACGCTTCACGCGTTGAAAAAAAAAGTTGAAAATGAAGGAGTGAAAAGAATTCGAAAGTGCATTTGAGAGGAGGTGAAGTGAGCACGTTTATAGGCTCCTTTTCATCGGTCGCCGACATTTTTTTCTTGCGCCCCCCGCGCAAAATAAGATGTCAAATGATTAGCTCGATATTTGATTTTTGATGGGCATCCGAAAATGAATTTCGGCGCGAAAAAAATGCTTCAGGAAATTCGTTGAAAGAAACGGAAAATTCAGAATAAATTAGATTAGACGGCATTTCGAAAACGCAAAGTTTATGACTCATTAAAATGTTGCAGACTTACTATGTCGTTGTGCTACTGAAGAGACTTCGTTTTCTTTAAAGGGTGTTTAATAATAATACATATACAATTTGAAGAATTTGGACAAATTATCCTTTTGAGAATGGAATTTTTTGTTTAAAAAGATACAAATTGAATAGACAATTTAAATTATTTGACTTGGAAATTCGTTTTTTTTTACATTTTTCACTATGGTCCTGCAGAGATAAATTAGTGTTCGTCTGAATAATTGATATTATCAATAACGTTAAAATATTAAAGGAAATGGAAAGCTGAAGAAGAAAAACACATATATATTTGAAAATAACATAAACAATCATTTAAATGTGGCGAGACCATAGAAGATGACAAATAAGCGCTTAAATCAAAGCCCCTATTAAATCAGATATTTAGATGTTATGAAACCTTCACATTTTATTTTTGATTTATCTTTATTGTCTTAAAAAATTATTCAATTTTTTTTCTCCTTCAAATCTATTCTTTAAAAAATATAAAAAAAATCTGCTCAAATTTGCAGTGGAGCGCATTTTATAATTTAAGGTCGAGCCGGAAAGAATAAATTTCGACGAGACTCTTCAACGAGGCATTCTGCAGATTCGAAATTGTCCTTGTTTGGAGATTCTATCGCGAAAAAGCTTCCAAAATTGGGCAATCCAACTTATTCGACTTTTTGATGGTCTGTTTGTCGATGAAATCTTCTGATGAATTTCGAAAAAAAAATGTATATTCAATGGGATGAAGTGCTGAAGTATGTATAGCTATTTATTTTACTTCATATCTCGGATAGATCTTCTACGAAATCAGATTTTTTTTTGAGCGAAGAATTATTTCTCGACGATGTGCAATTTTAATCGTAAATTCCCATATGATTTTTGATGTGACTTCAGTTTTGCGAGAAACGATTAAAAACAAGCACGTGTGTGAACACTTTGCACGGCTATTCGAAAATATTTGATGATTTCTGGTATTCATTCAATTGAACGGGGGGATTCTCAAAACACTCAATATGCTTTTCCCCAGAAGATTAATCTCTGCACCAGTGCTTGTTTCTGATTCGAATGACACTTGTTCGATTTGAAACAAAAAAAAAAAGAACATGATATCGCATTGATGAGTCAATTGAAGATTGCAACATCAAAAGAACCAATTTATTTCAGGGAAAACAAATCGACGAATTGAACTTGGGAGTGATGACTTAGATTGTGGAATCGAGGAGATTGCTCGCTGGCGATTATGCCCAAATAAATACAAATCTTTGATTAGAAATGCTTACCTATTTTGAGATATTTGATTCCTAAAAAATTGAGAAATTATGAGACAAACAAATCTTTAAAATATTTTGTTTGATTCTCTTTTTTAATAATTAATAGGAATAATCCGAGATATTCTTCGTTCATTTTTTTCATCCAGAGATCATTTTTACAAATAAAATGTTGGAGAGAAATTTTGTATCAAATTTTCTTATTATTATTATACATTTTTTTCACATGATTATACTAATATGATGTGAATATACGTATATATAGATTGAAATGCGACACTTCGACGTACTTCAATCCATTTGTTGAAGGGAAAAATTTGCGATCCGATGGCAAACAAATGAATAAGTAGATGCACAAAATTTCTTTGTTCTCTTTTATTCAATTCGGTGTCGAATTCAAAAATAATAATAAATTAGTAAAAAAATGTTTGTTGATGAAATTAGAAATGCAAGTGAGCGGTTTTGTGGATTAGCAGATTATAAAGCGAGGGAAGACGGAAAAAAGAACTCCTTTCGAAATGTCAAACATGTGTTTCAAATTGTCAATTGAGAAGCACCGACCCTTCATAAATCATCGGGAAGAATGTGGCTTTTATTAGGCTCTTGATGGAAACATGAAAGAGTTTTGCTGGTTTCGCTAGTTGGTTTGTCGGAATGAACAACTACAATACGTGTAGTTTCCTTCTGAATAGATGAGCAAACACAAACCGATTATTAACGCGAATATGCTCATCAAAAAAAACTATAATTTTTATGTATTATTTGAATCTATGCCGGATTAAAAAATTGTAAAATATTTATAAAATTCAATGGATAAACATTTGAGACAAGAAGATTCTGGAACCAAATATGAGAAGCTAATCATATGAAAGCGATTTAAGAATTACATGAAAGAAAATCGTGATCAGCAGTTCACGTTGATAGTAATCTCGATTTCAAACGACTAAATCAGTGTGGATTTACGAGCGGGTCAATTTTTTCGGGTTGCCTGAATCTTAGATGGGCCCACACTCACATACTTTTCTTTAGACACATCACAGAGATAACATTTTTTTTTATAAATCACTCGGTCAATAATATCTGCTTCCATTGGTGCATTTTCAATAATGTTTTTTGTAAAACTGTTATAATTCGACTTGATATTATTATCATTATTAGAGCAGAATACGTGTATAATGCATTAAATTAAGAGGATCTCAGAAAAAGTTTTTTTTATCTTCATTTTTTTTCACAAAATGTCGCTTTTCGAAATTGATGACCAAAAAACCACATTTTTTATCAGATGTATGTGATTTTTGTGTATTGTCGAATATTGGCAACTGTCGGAAATTCAATGAATTTATTCAAAGTATTTTCAAATACAGATTTTTTTTGTTGGCGCTAAAATAACAAAGATTTGCATGGGCCTTTGATGCATACTGTAGTTTCATTTTTATACCAATTCATACGCAACAATATATATTCTACCTTCACTATATTGTCGATGTATTTCGAGTAGTAAATCAACACGTAAATCTACCCAATACAAATTTGGCAAGCCACGCCCACTTAGTTTGTCAGAAGTTTAAAGTAAATTTACCTCAATTTTCAATTTTTATAAATCCTATCTAGATTATTAAATAGTACAATCGAATTCTAACGAGCAGCGGTGAGTTTGATCCGCAGGTTAGCTGTAGTACGATACCAGAATCGAAATTCGAATGAAGCCTACAATTACTCAATTTGCTCGATTTTTTGCGATGGTAATATGCACATATTTATAATAAATAATAATTAGTTGGAACCAAATTGATATTTTTTTGTTCGAAATTTCTCAAATGCCAAGCCTCGAAATGCCAGGCTAAATTCGCTCATTGATCATTGCTTTAGCAGATCATTCAACATTTCCAACGTGTTATAAATTGTTTTAATTCCGTGTTTCGAATACCGTATAATTATGTTTCTTGTCCAACCAACCCCCAAAAAAATTCAACCAAGCTCACAAATCGTATATAAATTTCAACAATACAATGAATTGGCGAAGATTAAGCAGAAATACTGAAATCCTTGATAGTTTTTGTTTTCATGAGATATTATTATGATATTCGCCACAATTTGTCAATATTCCAAATTTTTCTGCCATCCAGCTTCCAATTTGTCCGTGCTTAAAATGGTCCCTCACAAAAATCCCGTGCACTTCTCTAATTGTTGTCAACGATTCGTAGTGTGAACTCTCATATTCATTCTCATATTCTATCGTGTTAGTTTTCCAACAAAAAAAGGTTGTTTGTAATTTATTCTGAAAAAAAGCACACGAAAATTTTTGAATATTTCATTCCAGTTTTAATGGTATCGTTTTTAAGAATGATTATCGCGAAATAAATCACTTCTTTCAATTTAAGAAAAAATTGTTTTGTCGCAAATTATTTCGACTTTATTTAGCCATCAAGTTCTCGCTTTCCTGTTTTTTTTTTCTGGAAATGCCATTTCTGCCTTAATGTAAAAAAAAAGCAGCTGTAATGTACTTTCATTCGTCTCAACTAATTTCAATTTTTTCGTGATTTCAAATATGTCGAGTTTTTCTCATTATTTCAAAAAAAAAACCATCTCGCCATCGGAAATTTGCACTTTTTTTTACGATTTCCTTATTCTGAATGAATTTGTCATTGTTTCCACTAATGTGATGTTGATGAACAGGGCTTTTTCGACATATTCATGCGAAGAAAAAAAAAATCAATTTTTAACAATCTTATAAGGTAGGGCTGAGCCGATCGAGGCGGTCCATTTTAAAAAGCAAAAGAGAGAAATATTATTGGCAACATCTGTGGACATTTTCCGGGATGTGCCACTACAGTTTTCAATGCTGAATGCAAGCAAAAATTTCCGCTGTGAAATGCAATCTTCTTACTGATGGTCTCTTTTTGTTTTGACTTTAATTGCATTGGAATTGCACGATAATTCTAGACTAAACTAGAAAAATCTGACAGTTTTCACAAAAAAACCGCTAATTCAAACTAAAAAAAAGAATTTTATTAAAAAGCTGTGTAAAAAAATGTTCTTCGAACTAATTATGCAAATTAAAGGAGATTCCCAACCAAGTTTCAATAATAAATTCTCGCGCAGATAAATTATTCAAAAAATCGAAGATTCTCGGAAAATTGGTATCGTGCAATGTTTCGCTATATTTTAAGCTTATTGCTTTGAGATGTTATAGCAAAATTCTGGCACGAATGGTTATTTCAATTTCTTTTTTTTTTCATTTCCGCCTTTACT